TTTTGTTTAATATGTTTCTTCGCAGATGCTCAGCTCTCATCGTTTCTGCAATAATTTCTTCCTTCATTCTCATTCCCTTTCTGGTGAGCTCCTCCACACAACACGGTCCACTTCAGCATTTTGTTTCCAAAATACCTGTATCATTCGTGTTCCGCTTACACGCATCTTTATATCGTAGTAGAGGCCGAACATAAAATTATTCTTTGTACTACAACCATAGATCTTGTTGGCATAATGGCCAGTGAACATACTAACCAAGACACTGGTTATGATTCAATCCCTAGCATTGATATAATTTTTTTACTGGTCCATTCGGAATAAGAACTTCGCTTGCTCCTCAAGATGGGAACGGAGCACTTAGGTAGTGTCCCGAATGTTAGGATCTTGATTCTTAATTCAACATTTTACTTGCCCATTCTAGGGGCGACAAAAATCTCTCAAGATGGGCACAAGACCATTTTCAGAATTATCTGGAAAGAAAGAGAACTGATTGGCTCACCTCATTAGTCTTTAGCTTAAAGTGTGTGAAGGCTCAAAAACTTCCATCGTAGTGTCATTCTTCTTCTTTTGTCAAAATCTGCTTGTGCCGCTAGGCGTCGCAGTCTATCAGATGATCGGCAGCCGAGCCAGGGTGCGCTCAGTCGCTTCATATGCCGTGATGTTATGAAGTCTCAAGTTGTCCGTGACTCCTTCAATCCATCTTCTTCTTGGTCTTCCCCTGCCTCTTGTTGTTTCGATTTTCATGTTGTATGCTCTTGATGCTGGCATCGTTGGTTCCATTCTCATTAGGTGACCAAATCATTTCATTTCAGTGTCATTGCTCCGCTTATACATACATGCTTTAGTTAGAATATAAATATAAAATTTTCTTCTTATTCTGCTTCTTGTTCTTCGTCTTATTAATCCGTATCATTTTTTTTTTCTGAGTTTTCTTCTTCTTCTTTATCATTGTCATTATCGCCATCTTCTTCATACTCTTTTTTTTTCTTCTTCTTTTTTAAATTATCGTTCACCGGCTGTAAACTCCGGTGGGAAATTCTGTTTGTTCGTCCATGTCTGGACTTTGGTCTTGTTCCTAAGCTTGAGTTTTGCCTGCACATCCGTTTTACAGATCTACTTTTTTTCAGGCAGATACATTCTGACTTCGAAGGAATCATATAGTTAGTCACCTTTTACGACTTTGTGTCGCCAGGAGTTTATCGCTTATGTGATGTTCCTGGTGGGGTACAACTTACTTACATACATGTCCAATCGTTGCTCGGTATTTGTCAATAACAAACTAGTTTCTCAGGACTGGAAGCTCTCTTGATATGAAATTTACTCTTGATGGTGCAACACGGTACATTTTCCCGACACTGAAACCCTATGTTTCGTGTGACCCTATGTTGTGTGAAACCCTATGTTGTGTGAAACCCTATGTTTTGTGTGACCCTATGTTTTTTGAAACCCTATGCTTTGTGTGACCCTATGTTGTGTGAAACCCTATGTTTTGTATGACCCTATGTTGTGTGAAACCTTTATGTTTTGTGTGACCCTATGTTGTGTGAAACACTATGTTTTGTGTGACCCTATGTTGTGTGAAACCCTATGTTTTGTGTGACCCTATGTTGTGTGAAACCCTATGTTTTGTGTGACCCTATGTTGTGTGAAACCCTATGTTTTGTGTGACCCTATGTTGTGTGAAACCCTATGTTTTGTGTGACCCTATGTTGTGTGAAACCCTGTGTTTTGTATCAGTGTAAGGGGGTAAATATCTCAGCAATAAAATTGAAAACTGGACCAGATAACATTTAGACTTGTCACCGCCACTGACATTACACCACACGGAGCAATCGGTTTCTGATGTCAGAATTTGGTTATCTATTTTTGTCAGTCTGTGATATCCCAGGTGATCGATGGATAGAGGATACATTTATAAATGTTAGGCTTCCTCTTCTTTATTCTTCTTCTGTCCTTCGTCTCTCAATGGAACATAGGTTGAAAACTAGACCAGATCACATTTAGAGTCGTCACCGCCACTGACATTACACCAAATGGGACAGGATTCTCCGTGACGAAGTAGTCATGTTGTTTGCTTCCTGCTCTTGAGGTTGTGAGTTCGTATACGGAGGCGTCGTTCAGCTAACGAAGGCAATTTTAAGGATCCCTCGGCTGAAGTCGGGGGCCCTAATATAACCTAACGGTTAAACGAGGTTTCTGAGACCTCTTCCCGGGTGATCCTCATCCGCATGGTGGCATTTTGTGTCACCGGATATTAATCGTTGGGTGGATGTCCTGGTCGGGTTGAATCTCATTCATGCATTCATTCCAAAGATCATTGAGGATCGTGGCTGGAACAACGTAGTTAGTGCTTTGTTTAACGCTCACGGCAGGCGGTTAGCTGTTGAGCAGAGAGAGAGAGAGAGAGAGAGAGAGAGAGAGAGAGAGAGAGAGAGAGAGAGAGAGAGAGAGAGAAAGAAAGAGAGAGAGAGAAAGAGACCAATCCGGTGTAGTGATGTTGATCCTCTGAATATTTAGTCTTTACCAAGGGACAACCGGTTCATGGTGTCATTTGGTTATCTAGTCTTGCCAATCTCTGATACCCTAGGTCATCGACGCAAGGTGAATAAATGTATGGTTTCTTTTTCTTCTTTAATCTGCCCTGTATCCCCCATGGTTTACGGTATCTTTCATGGAATCAAGGCCGTAAGGTTGCGTAATCCTTAGTACCGATCCAAAGGGTTTACAACTCGTGTTTTCTGGATTTAAAACCCCCCCCCCCCCCCCCCCCGGAGTATCGGTTCTCAAATAACTGGCGCTAATTTGTCATAATTTGTCATGGTATCAAGGCAGCTCACTTTATGTGCTTTCCTTCAGTTCTCTATCGCTCTGTCCCTCTCTGTATTGGTCTGCCTTTGTTTCGATAAGCAGATAACAGGTACTGAAATCGGGGATGCACAGTTCTACTATGTTTCTGTGTTTTATCCCCCAATGGAAGTTCTTAACCATCTAACGCCAAGTCGTTCTATCCTTCGCTATTGCATGCAGATCACCGCATGGCCTCAATATCTGTTTGACTTAACTCCCGACAGTAGTAACGAGAAGCAAACCGTCCAGAAAGCAATGGCAAACTACTGGACGTGAACTAGAAAAACAACAACAGCTAAAAAAATGCTGGGGTTGGTTCTGCAACGTCCTGTAAAGGTTATGCAACTAGGATCTAATTTCCTTGTTTTACTGTAAAAGTCTTTAAGGTTTCCTTTTGCTGCTGCTGTCTCTGCTTCTTCTACTAGATCATGTAAATATTTCTTTTATCTGCCTTTCTTAGCCTCCCAAGTTCCTTATTAGCTTCTGTATATTTATTATAAGATCTAGCAGCTCTTGTTTTGCTATTGTATATGTCAGCCTTTTCCTTTCTTTGATCATTTCAAGGGTTCCAGGTGTTATCCACGTTTTGTTTTCATTCTCTTTTTACCAAGGACTTTTACACACAATTCATTCCAAACCACTTTGATCTGTTCCCAGCAGACTTCAGTGCTTACCTCCTCAGATAACTGCTGCAACACTTTGTGCTTATTAGAGACTGTTCCCTGTGTGTGTGGGTTCCAGGGAAAACAAGAATAGACCCACTGACTTCCCAACAAGAATATCGTTGTAAGAGTCAACTAAGTAAAAGCTTTTTTTGAAGTCTGAGTGAATCTGCCCAGGCGACAAGAAACAGCGCAATGCATACAAATGAACTCGTAAAATGGATGTACACACAAAACTCAGACGTTTGGACAATGCCACAGTCCAAATGGACAAACAACCATAACCTTCCGCCTGACCTTACAGCCGGTGAAGTGAACAAAGAAGATAAGAGACTGTGGCCACACATTTCTCCTTAGCTTCTTCATCACTGAGATATCCTTCATTATACTGGTGTCTATGATTTTCAGATGTTATATATCTTTTATTTAAGTTTCACCTTGAATTTATCTACCCACAGACAGTGGTCAGTAAATACATCAGTACCTTGAAAAGCCCTAACACCATAAGGAATGATCTAAATTTATTGTTTATATGTACATAATCAATGTGATTGGTCCTCTTTTGATCTGGTGATTCCCATGCTGCCTTGTGTATTCTGTTATCGGTACTACTCACGAATCTCACTCCATCTTATTCGGCCACAGATTTTTGTATTCCTTCTGATGTGCTGTCCTATGTTCTGGGGGTACTGTGAGATGCCTTCCTTCAAAATCTATATACACTGTGCCGAAAACTGTCTCTGGTTCGTTCAATGTGGCTGACAAATTGTGGCCTAGACGAAATTGGTCAGCTTTCTTGTAGCAACTGCCTCTTCTGTTGTTTGTGGAAGGTGCTGTTGTTGTGAGTAGCTCAGGCACCGCAGGAGCAAAGCGCAACAGTTCAAGGGTATCGAATCCTTTATGTTTTTGTATTTTTACGCTCAGTGGTGGTGGATGTGATTAAAACAAGTAACAGCTGATATCTCTAGAACAGCCCGTGGGAATTATTACAAAATCACACAGGGGTACGAGATTTGTGAGTTGAACCCTTTTATGTGGCAAAATGCTTTACCCTTCTTCTTCTTCTGCGTTTGACATCAGTCGTGCTGAACACTGAGTCCCGTCTGTGTCACAAATAGGACTGTGCATTTAAGGTCGCCACAGGTTTCCCCATAGCTTCTCTTGCAATGTGGCTCGCTTGGGCCAGATCCAGTCTTTGGTGGGAGAAGTTATGGTAGGACTTCAGTATGTGCTCAGGGGTCTGTCTTTCTGCTTCACAATCAAAGGCAGCAGATTCTTTTATGCCTATCCTGAATGCTTCCCCCAATAACATACTGATTCCTAGCCCACAAGTTAGTTAATTCTCTATTTGTATTCATTATTCCTAGCCCATTTGTCCCCATAATCTCTTTACAATCTTTGTTATCTGATCTTAGCATTCAGGACACCAATCAATTTTTCTTTTTTACTGCCTGTTCTTTCATTATTTATAATATTGTGAAGCTGCATGTGAAATTTGTCAGTGGATTCATCTTTTTGTATTGCCGACATGTTCACCTTCTGTTTCACTGTTCTAAATGATGTTCTTATTATCTAGGACTCACAGCTTCCCATATTATTACTTATTAGTGCAGTCTCTGCCTCTTTCAATAGTTTCAGGGCCACTCCTTCACTCTGGACAGAATGTTCCCCCGTGAATGTCCTGAGAACAAAATAGTTTCAGCTGAATACAGAATATTTTTCCACGCCCTGGTTACACACAAACCCCACCCCTGGCTTTGGCCTGAGGACTTTGGGCCGCATGGCTAGTGATGTCAGCAAGGACTGTTCAAGTTAGGATTTGGTCTTGTTCCTCAAGTTGAGTTTTGCAAGCAAATCAGCTTGTTTAAAGGGACAGTGGGGGCTACCTGAACCCACATGGGGACACTAGGGACGAAAGGCAAAAGAATCAGTGTTTTTTGTGTGTGCTACAGTTGGGGGAGTTAAGTTATATACTAGTCCAATTTCAGCAAACCCTTTACTAATCTAAATAATGCGGACACAATACAACGCAAAATTTATAGCGATGCATGTTTCGCTGTATTTTGTGAGGTGCAACGCTACAGTTACACCAACATATAATGAAGCACAAAAACTTTAAAAAATTAACTGAAATACAAATGGTTGCCCTCCATGCATTCCATCTTCAGATTAGACAGTTTTCTTTGTATTTCTTAAATCTCATTCTTTGTTAATGTCTCCAGGTTTCTTGATGTTGGACATATTTTGTTGGCTCTCAGAGATCTGAAGTACCGATGTGGGAACAATCCCTAAAGAAACCATTTTCCCTCATCGGTACTTCATATCCCTGACCGCTGGCAAAATATGTCAAATATCAGGACATTAACAAAGAATGAGATTGAAGACATGCAAGAGAACTGTCTAACCCTAATTGATCGCCTTTTACGGCATGCTTGTTAAGGAGCAGTGCATCTTATCGGGAACCATGCGGAAAGACAATGTCAATTACATTCATTATTCTTAAGGAACAGTCTCAACACTGTATACTGCATTCAAATTCATGTATTTCATAAAACAAAGAAAAAACATTGTTAAAACATCACATGTGAATGATACATGGACTCTGTCAATGTGAAACTTAGAAGATGAGACCAGCACTAAAAAAAAACACTGGCACAATAGCATCTGCGCTAAGCCTACATGTATGTTCCTTAAAAACATAACAGATAGGTTACCTATAATCAAGGATAACCCAAACAAATATATATATATATATAAAGCTGTCACAAATCTATTCTCGGTGTGGTCTTCTATGTTATTAGGCCCTGTAAACTGTTTGAGCCTAGCCTAACTCTGGCAATTAAAACTAAAACATCCCCGAGTGGGTTCCATGGCCCCATTTCAAAGAAAAAAGAATAGAACCCCCTCCCCCTTTCCTCTCACAAGCATGACATAAAAGGCGACTCATAAGGGATCTGCTGAAACTGGATTTGCAGGGCTGAAAGGCCTAGCTGTAAACCACAACACAATGTGTTCAACACCCTTTTCAGGGTGAACGCAGAAGAAGAACCTACTTTAAATTTGAAATGATTTTTTTTAAAGTCTCCTAGGATACTCAAAACTTTTGCAAATAACAATATTAGCATAACATAATACATGGAATGCATCAACATGGCCACAGAATCACGACTGCTTTCTTTAGATGTCTGTGACAAATTGTCTCAGGGTCTAGACCTCTACTGTCTTTGGTGTCCATGATTTTTCAAATATTTATGTTAAACCCTATTAAAACCACGCATCATAAATTTGTTGTTTTCCCCTGCTGAACTAAAGGTGGTAACAGTTGCCACTGCTTATGAGAACTTGCACTTGGAGAAGTCCATCTCTGGATGCTGCTCCATAAACCTGAGGAAAACAAATCAAACATGAGACAAGGACTGTGTGTTTACACCAAGACACAAGGCTGTCTGTCTAACCAAGACACAAAGCCTACACAAAATATGCTCAGATGCTTCTGTTCAGTGACAGACACTTATCTTCTTTGTCAGACCTTTATCCTCAACCAGCTCATGCCGAGTCAGCATATCCTCTGCTAAATTTCTTGCCGAATGCAAATTTAAAGTTATGAGAATAAGTAAATAAGTAAGTCACAAATGGTTATGCAATGGCAGGAAAATGTGGCTGGTGGTTTCTAAAGGTGTCATTAGGTGACAGCACATTGAACTTTATGGCTCTGTTCATTAGGTAGCACCAGGTGATGCATGCGATTCGCAACATAGAATGAAAATGACGACTGTACTACTTATGGAGTGTACCCTTAAAGAACAATGTGCTGGTTTTTTTTTTTTTTGGGGGGGGGGGGGGGGGGGCAAAAGAGCTGCCTGCAAAGAACATTCATAAGGAAATGCTTCCTGTTTATGCTGACAAATTTTTATTCCATCAAGCGGTGCATAGCTGGGTTAAAAAAAAGGTTCTCAAGGACGCTCTAAAATTGTTGATACGTCCGATCTGGTTGTCCTGTTGAGACTGCAACAGATACATCCATGCAGCGGGTGGAGAAGATGATTACAGGTGAGTAACAGTTGACTCTGTAGCAGCTGCAATAGGGTGCTCATTTGGTTCAGCATAGAATATAATGCATGATCATCTGAAATTTAAGAAAGTGCTCAAGGGGTACCCAGAAAATTGACAGACGAACACAGAATGAAGCGATTATGCCCTTCCTTGCAGCATCTCTCTCGAAAAGCAGATGGAGAGACATGCTTAATAGGATTATTACTGGGAATAAATCAATGGTGCATCACTACCAGCCAAAAACAAAGCGTGCTTCAATGCAATAAAACCATCCTTCTTCACCTTGTGTTAAAAAATTCAAGGTTATGCAAACAGCAGGGAAGGTTGTGCTGACGGTGTTCTGGGATTGCCAAGGAATATTTTTAACCAATTTCCAAAAAAAAAAAAAAAAAAAGGTGACAATGTGAATGCTGATTATTACTGTAAAGTTCTATCAATTCTTCATGAAGCAATTTGAAGAAATCATTCAGGCCTGCTGACTAGAGGGAAAACTGCTCCTTCATAACAATGCAAGACCACAAATGGCTCGGTTAACTCAGGAGAAAACCATTAAGGGTTGGGAAATTCTGGAACATCCATCTTACAGCCCCAATTTAGCTCCTAGCGATTTCCACCTTTCTGGTCCACTGAAAACCCACATTGGCGAAAGACATTTCGCGGATGATGCAGAAGTTAAATGTGAAGGGAAAATGTGGTTTAGAAAAGACAGCTTGCAGTTCTATGCAGCAGGTTTGGGAGGACTGATAAAAAGATGGACAAGTGCATCAGTGTTGGTGGAAATTATGTTGAAAAATAAAGGGATAGTGTATGTGTAAAAAAAAAATTATTTTAAAGTTATTATCCTAAGTTTTTTTAAAATTTGTAACAACCATTTGTGATTTACTTTTTGACGTCCCTTCATACTTTCTAACTGGTGATGGTCCTAATTTAACCTTGAGGTTACCTCCATCTGTTCTGTGCAGCCACCACTTAAGGACATTTGTAGTTTATTGCCAAGATGAATTTAAAAAATCTGGATGAATTCCATCACCTTGTTTTATCCATCACCGGTATGTACCAATTTTTTTCTTTTGCAGAATGATGCTCTCATCCTAGCTCATTTAATCTGGTATTACAAGGAATATCATAGGCAGGAAAACAGAAGACTAGTAGCAATAAAGATGCCTTATGTGTCAACACTGACACGCAGAGGATATATTTAGATAGCTCACCAGACTTCTCATCCTTTACCAATTCTCCTGCCTCAAACATATGTATGACTTGGGTGTCTTTTCTTTGCCCCATTCTCAAACAAACCATGCCTTCTATTAAAGTTATTGCTAAACCACTCCAGTTTTATGTAGCAAGATGCGTGTTTATATTATGCCTGTTTTCACACTCAGATCTTGTAAATGTAAAGGATCTTTGCAGGTTAAGATCTTACTACCAGAAGTTGTGGGGAGCTGCAGTTTATATTCCTGTGCCAACTATGCTGTGCAGTATAAAAAGCAATAGTTAGTGACAGCCTGATACTGCTTCCCATATCACGATTGTCTATTTTTTTCCTGCATTGTGAAATCATTTATTTTGTCTACGCACAGGACATTTTATCTTTAAGATGGAACAGCTAGCTCAAAACCAGCAATTTTTGAGGATGGTTTGATCTAGTCTGGGATGCCTAACTCTCTCAGCCCAACTGCACTGAATGCAGATGGTTTCTATGGCCACCATATGGAGCTGGACTATTGCCAAAGTTGGCTCTAATAAGAGCTGTGTAGGTGTTAACCAATAGCTGCATTCCCCTTTTCTGCTGCATTTCTGGACTGGAATAATGAACTATAAGGGAGTATGTGTCAAGTTTCTCACATTAACAGACTTACTTCTTCAGCACATCCTGTTTTTTCTGCTCATCAGATGTAGGGAGGCCCATTTCTTTCTGTCTCTGGTCGTACATCATCTTCTCAACCATGGAACGTGTTTCACCATCCAGATCTGACAGCTGGCGGATGGGACCCAGAAACCATTGTCAGTTGAATATGGTAGAAGATAGACTTAGTTCAGGAATGTTGGCACATATGGTAGAAGATAGACTTATTTCAGGAATGTTGGCAAAGATGTGTGTGCTGACAGATTTAGTCTGTTCAGAACTGCAGACATGTGTGTGTGCAGACAGATTCAAATATTACAGAAAACCTCAATGAATTCTACAAACATTATCTGCCAGTAACGCTTTCAATTTAGTTGCTCCCTCTAATGTCACATAAAAATCTGGAGAGTGATAATCATGGTCAACATAACTCAAGTCTAGTTCACAATTCTATTCTATCCTGTGAAAACCTTTTTATTTCATGGATGAAATCCAATTTAACTCCTTTGGCCCCTCTCAACAATATTTTGTTTTGTCTTGTCATTTCCTCAATCCATTTGTTCTCCATTTCAGTGCCTGTCTATCCTCTTCTCCTGTTGTGCCCAATATATTACCATCTTACTTTTCTTCACGCTGTCCTGACATTTCTTTTATTTATTTATCTTTCTTCACTACATTCCATTAAATGTTCAGCAACTTCCTTGAGCATTTGTGTTTAACTTTCACTCCATGTATTTATCCACGTACTTCCGTTTTACTGGCTTATTTGGGCAGTTGGTTGTTCCTTGCCACTCGGGCAGAGGCACTCCGACTTCGAAGGAAATCTCCAAAAGTCGACCCCTACGACAAACTTGTTAATGAGGCAGTGGGTCTATATTTAGAGTTCGATATTTTGTTGAGGCTAGAGTGATAATCAGTTACTTTTTATTCTGGTGTGCAAACTATTTCAAGTTTGTGAAATCTGATTGTTCATCCACTTCTGGACTTTTGTCTTTTTCCAGAACTTGAATTTTGTGCGTGCATTTCCTTTGCATCTGGCTTATTTAAATGCAGACTATTGGTTCCTTCTAGGCCCACATTAGCCTTATCCTCATCACTTGTGATGGACAAACAACAACAGCTTGGTTTCCATTAGAAAGCCAACCAGTCAAACCTGGGATCGCTCTACTGCATGTACAGAGCAGGTAATGCCTGTGACAGTAAAAAAAAACATGTTAAGAAAATTTCAAATTAGGAATTTCCATGATAGAAAAAATATATTTGGAGAAAACAATACCTTGGAGTTTTCTGGCTGAACTTTCTTAGTGTTGATCTCTGGCTCTGTCGTGAGTATCCGGCTCCACCACTCCATCTGGTTAACCTGCAGGTTAGACAAGTTAAATCAACATGCTTAGCTGTTAAACAACATCTACAGCCAAGTGACGATCATCAAATACAAGTGTCAAACAAATAGGTTAAACTGACATGATCATGAACCACTGTTAAACAAGTAGGCTTTACAAACACTGCCCCACACAACTGCTAAACTAGTCAGTTGTATATACATGGTCATGCACAGCTGTCAAACAAGTAAGTGAATCAAACATGGCCATTCACAACTGTCAAACAAGTAGGTTAAACAAACATGGTCATGCACAACTTTCAATTCATAAATGTCACACAAGTAGGTGAAACAAACATGGCCATTCACAAACTGTCACACAACATGGATCATAGGTAACTCAACAGAATCTATATCTTGCTAGCTAACACTAGCCCAGGAGTTTTAAGTGTTACAAAATGACTGACATACATTTTTCAAGTTGACCAAGTCGGAAATGCATACCAGGTAAAGTCCTAGAAAGTAAAGCCAGCCATTGTGATGCTGACCACATCAGTCAATGAATGGTGAATGGTCTATAATTTTGACATAAAAAATTATCATTGAAAATGCCTCCAAAGTCGGAGTGCATCTTCCTGGGAGAAGAGGAACAAACAGTATGCCTATAAGTAAGCCAGATCAGTAAAACAGATGGGACGCAGAATTCAAGTTTTGGAACAAGTCCAAAAGTGGACGAACAACCAGACCTTTCTGCCAGAGTTTACAGCTGATGAATGCCGAGAAAAAGATCATAACAAAAACTGTTTATTCAGAATATTGTTGCACCACATTGGATTGTCATCCATAAAGCGTGTATGTGCAAAGCTTCAGCTTGACGGCATATCAGGATATAGTGTAAAAATTGACCATATCCCACTCAGAGAAACATAGAAACAAAAATACCAACAAAAACTTAATAAACATTTTTTTTTAATGAGTCTAGTATCATATGTTCAGCACTCTCCTGGCAAAAAAGGGTATTTTTATATCTGCATGTTTCACATTCAACTAGCCAGCCAACTTCCAGATAAGCAGACAATTGTCCTCAGTCAGTTCTACAATTATTTGGACCACTTTGGAAAACTAGCTTCTTTGTACATTTAGGAGAGGAATTTGTATACATTGAAATTGGCTCAGGGGTTGCAAGGTGAGGCATACAAGATATATCAAAGGATGCCCACTGGTTCAGAAACAGATTATGAAGCACTATGTCAGGCTTTACTGAAGCATATTAAACTTGATGCTTCTACCTAAAGACATAAGTTTAGAAATGAGAGAAAGCTTAATTGGGAGAATTACCCTTAGTTTGCCAGTCGCCTACAGAGATATTTCACTCGATGGAGGGTATACTTCTTCTTTTGAAGACCTGCAGGAGATGTTCTTAACAGAACAACTTTGTGACACTTTCCTAACTGAAAATAGGGCGGAACGACTGACATATTTACATTTGCTGGGAGGTATGAACTTGCACATAAAGATGTTTTTTTTAATGGGTTACCCATGTGTTTTTAGAAGAGCTAGCTAAACCACCATAGAATATGGCTGCGGTGACCACCAGGGCACAACATAAGAGTCCTTTTGAAGATTCCTCCCATGTAAATCCATTGACTGAGGAAATCAAAGTGGCCCAGAATAATGACCCCACCCTTAAGGCATGTTTTAAGAAATTACCTAATAGTCGCACTTCACCAAAAGGTAAGATTCTTCATCAGATAAGGGAAGGGGGGGGGGGGAAGTATACTGAATATAGTCAATTGGTTGTACCCCAACCTTACAGATAGGCACACTATTATATTATATGGGAATCAATGCTACTACACAACGCATTGCTTGTCACTTTTGGAAATGTATGACAGCAGATGAGAGTTCTGTAAAATCCTGCCTGAATGTCAAAGAGTAGCACCAAAAGGCAGGAGCACACCAGTTGGATTAGGAAAAACTTCCGTAACCGCCACCCCTTTCGAGAGGGTGGCGGTTGATCTGGTCTGACCACTTCCCCTCAAAAAGAAGAAGGATGCTTATATTCTGACCCTTGTAGACTGTTGTTCAAATTGGCCGGAGGCTATACTGCTTCGCATGATTGACAGCAAGAGTGTTTTTAAAATAATCAAATCTCATCACATCTGTATTAAGTCCATACCGACCTGAAACGATTGATGCAGAAAAAGCCATAGAGGTGAGATGAATATGTGTCTGCAGGACAGTTCTCCAACAGGGAAGTACCTAATACCTCAACTGGACTCCCACCATCAGCATTGGTGTGTTGGAAGACATATTTCTGGACCCCTTGCCATCCTCAGGAAAACCTGGACTGATGAACAGGCAGATGAATCCTTGAAAAGCACCTCAAAAGACTCGTGCACGCAAGAGATATGCGGCACACTTCAACAAGAAGACAAAGGAATGATTAATCTATGTCGCTTCACTCCGGAAGTAGGTTAAATGTTCATTAGAGCTGCGAGCCAACATCTCAACACTACAACTACTTAAGAGTGCCTTGTGGTTCAGTAGGGGAAACCCTAATAAAGGCATGTGACACATCCATCCAAATGAGTGTTCCACTGTACAGCCAACATTTGATGCTCTGGTTCAAGGCTGGTCTAAGCAACTGTCATATTCTGTACGTAACTACTAAGCATCACATCTCTATGTAGAGTATCCCATTTATCATGGGAGTGCACCTTCAAGGTGAAAGTACTACTGTATTATTGTCAATGTTGACTAGTTATACCGCTGTGTTTCATCATGATGAGTATTATGTACCAACCTTCTCCATATTAATCAGCAATATCTTCTTGTCCTGCACACACCAAGTGGACTCTTCAACCTTGACATCGTTATACATGGTGCCCTCCAGTACAGGTGGATGCCCCTTGAGTCCTACATACAATTTCTGAAAACACAAAAATAAAAAAATAATCACATGCCAAACTCTTACGAGTGACAATGAAAGAAATACTACAAATGACATACCAATACAAGGACAAGATATCCAACCAAATGAGAAGTAGAACTAGTCAGCTTCACATTATCAGAATCATAAATTGCATATGAGGACTGGAATGAAACAAAGCCAAAAAGAAAACTGCTGACAGAGAAGTCTGGTGATCTCTCTGGCAAACCTTTACACCCTAAGGTAGAAGAGGAGTGACTAAGTAAGTTAAGCAAGATGTGACTGACACAAAGTCCCAGTACTGTGTTTCAGGGGAAAACAAATATACATGGGAAAACGAGTAGAAACACTGGCAAACACATCATAAAAGGTGACTAAATAGAGGTTCTTCCTTCGAAGCTGGAGGTGAGGAGCCCACAGTCTTCATACAAAATAGCCAGTTCTGTATAATATATTGCACGCAAAACTGAAGTTCTGGAACAAGACCAGAAGTGGACGAACAACCAAGACTTTCCAACTGAGTTTACATTAGGTGAACGCTAAGAAAAACAGAAGAAGACTGGCACTAATATGGACTCACCCTCTTCTCAATGTTGACGACCAAGTCCTTGCCCTTCAGTGGAAAATCGACTTGAAATGGGATACGGATCTGGAAAAATATCAAACGGTAATCCCTCATCACTTTGTTGTAAATAACCAAAACAAAACAAAAAAGAAATTGTGTTAAAAAAACAAGTAGTCCATCATCACTTTGTTAAAGATAACAGTAACAAACAGAAAGTCCATCAACACTTTGTTAAAGTTAACAGAAACAGCCGGTCAGTCCATCAACACTTTGTTAAAGATAACAGAAACAAACAGCCTATCCATCATCATTTTGTTGAAGTTAACAGAAACAGCCAGCTGGCCCATCATCACTTTTGTCTTCTTCTTCCTGTTCCCCAGCTGTAAATTCTGGCAGAAAGTTCTAATTGTTCATCCACATCTGGACTGCAGTCCTGTTCCAGAATCTGAGTACATCTGTTTTACAGATCTGACTCATTTGTATGGAGACTGTTGGTTCCTTGCCTCTCAGGCAGATGCACCCTGACTTCAAAGTTAGATCCTTATTAGCTGACCCCTATGACATGCTTTTTTGTGTGTTAGGCAGTGGGTCTATTCGTGTTTGCCCTATAATAGGGCCTCTGAACCCACTTGGGGAATCACTATGTCAAAATTAAAGGAAACGGCCAGCCCATCCTCATTTTGTCGAATACAACAGAAACAAACAGCAGTTGAACAGAAATAGTGTCAAACAGCAGCTCATCATTAAACTGTTATAGTTAACAGAAGCTGTGTCAAACAGCGGTCAAATACTATACTAAAATTATATTTAAAGATAAGGTGTTTTTTTGCACACACTATGATCCCATTTGGCTGTGCGCCTCTCTATGCAGCCACTAGCATCCCATTAAAAGCGCAGGACAAAATCTCACAGCTCCTGCAACAACCAAAGATGTACAAAACAAATGCACTTGAAGCAGATGACTTAACTACATTATTACAAGGTTTTGAGCAACAGTCAATGATATGGCAGTCCCAGTACAGACAAGAAAGTATTGTCTGATATGGCAGTCCCAGTACAGACAAGAAAGTATTGTCTGATATGGCAGTCCCAGTACAGACAAGAAAGTATTGCCTAAGACAAATATCAAAAGCCTGACTTAATGGCAAACAGACTAAACACAGATGTTGACAACAACAGTCGTGAAATCCCCTACTATAATAGTGGATGACTGTTCTTATTGTTGGTGGGTCTTGCTAGTCACACTCACCATCTCCATGGGCTGAGGGTTCCATGCCTTATCATAGCGCAATTCAACACTATCGTCTAGAACAGGGCTATTCAACTAAGTTTACTCACGGGCCAAAATATTGAAATTGGATCGTTGCGGGCCAGTGGCAGGAGATGATTAACACACTAAAATTGAGAAAACTGTCAATGTGAAAATTTAATACACTCCAAGACTGTTACGCCTAGGTGCCCTGGGGCCTAGCCTATGGTAATTTAAAACTGTTGTAAACCATTATAATGTAAAATATATTACATTCTTTTGTAATGATCAAATAATACTTACTTTACTTTTTCCTTCCATGTATGCCGCTAAGCGTTGTGGGGAGATGCAAGTTAATGATCAAATAATACTCACTTTAAACTGAAATACACGTACTTCCAACTTGTGGTTTGAGTTATTAATGAACGTTAGCATTGTCACTTCAAATGCATTGTCATAATAATATTAATAAAAATAATAAAAATAACTGTCCACAGTTCGTTTCGTATGTCTTTGTGCAGAAAAACCGAAAGCGTTAACGCGGCAAAATGTAATTAATGGGAAAAGTTGCATTTCTGTTTCAGCTAATTTTATCAAATTTGGTTGGTAAGAAGTCAGAGAAATTCTCATGCACAACTGAGCCACGTCTGTGATGTCTGTAGATTTATCAATGGCACCTGACAAAAATTCTGCCTGCTTTATGCTTTCAATTAAAGATTCAAAAACTTCAGTTCCTAAAAGCTCGATTCTGTGTATCGTCAAAGTATCCGACATAGTGATGTGTTGAACTGCAAGTGTTACGCTTGTTTTTATTTTATCATCAACTGCTATTTCGTTCAGAATTGCCAGTATGCATTCTTTCACGGTTTCTGAGTCAGTGAAAGGCCGCTTCTTTTTGGCTAATATCCACGAAACATACAAAACAATCAACAACTTAAACCTTTGATTTCCTAGCAGTGAAACCATCTGGACATGACCTTTACGTTGTACTCCTTTACTGCCGACATACATTGGTTGCATAGCAAGCACATTAGTTTTGAACTAGGTTTAGTTGGTAATATAAATAAATATTGAAATGTCCGGTCATTGTACCAGCCATGGCATCAATCACTTAACTAAATTATTAAAATTTAGATAACTCAAAACACTGTTACTGTTGCAGTTTGTTACTATACAATCGCATCCAGCAGTCTATGTCTGGCTGTGACTTGCACATTAGACGTTTACGAAAAATCTGATTTTAATTATAATCTGATAATAAGATCACTTATTGTGTCCGGCTGTGACTTGCACACTGGACGTTTACACACAACTGTTTTTTCTTAAATTTATATAAAAACATTGATTTATGTTATTTTTTATTTTTTAATATTCTAAATTTCAGTGGCAACGATTGGCAGGCCGCCAGTTGAATAGCCCTGGTCTAGAAAGACGGAAAAAAGCCAATCGAAAATCGACTTAATGGCAGACAAAACAACATATGTCATCCGACATGATGTTAGTCACACATGAATTTCAGACAGCAGTCAATCATATAGCAGTTTAAATACAGACATGAAAGTACTGTTTAAAACAAATATCTAGAATCAGACTTAATGGCAGATACATTGTCAACCCACAAGATGTCATGTCAACCACGTATGATAAGTACGAGCTCAGGACTGACCTCCACTTCCTGCAAGGTTTGAGTCCAGCTATAGTTTGGCATGTCAGCACCATTGCCTGCATTAGGTTTCAGTTTTCCCTTGTCCTTCTCATCTTCCTCATCATCACTTGGAGTCTGAAAATAACAATTACTGATGATTATTTTTCACTCGGAATCTGAAAATAACAGTTACCGTTGACTGATTAAATTTGTTTGTACAAGTGACTGAAACAATGAAACATACACCTATAAAATACACTATACAAGCTGTGGCTGCTTATATGGTTTACAGCTAGGCTGCAATGTCTGTGCCTTTCAGCCCCAGGCATTCAACTTCAGCATGCCACTAATAAAGTCGCCATTTACGTTACTCTTTTTATTATAGAATGTGGCTCCCCCCCCCCCCCCCTAAAAATGGGGTCCGGTACCTGCACGGAGAGACGGTAGGAAAACAGTAAATAAAACAGTCAACAGAAATAGAGAAGAACACAGTATACACAACACATTGGACAATAGATTGCAAATATATGAAAACACTGCCCCCCCCCCCCCCCCCCCCCCCCCCCCCCCCCCCCCCCCCCCCCCCCCCCCCCCCCCCCCCCCCCCCCCAAAAAAAAAACAGCATACAAAATAGACATGATGCAACAGCACCACGCAACATAACAAAATGGAAAATAAAAATTCTGCAGCAACAGACTACTGACAAAAGTACCATGTTCCGAAAAAATAAGACCTAACCTGAAAAAAAGCTCTAGCACAATTTTCTAGGTGCTCGTAATATAAGCCCTAGGCAAGACTTGAATAAATGTATACTTTTGTGTACTAGAATAAATGTAAATCTTTGCACATAAACAAATGTAAATTTGAAACGGGCAGAAAAAAAAGTAAACAAACACATTAGCCAACAGTGAGCCTTGGTGGTGTAGTGGCTAAAGGTTTTAAGCCTAAATCCACCTAGTGCATAAAAAAAATTTCCAAAATGACCGTGGTTCCTACGTAGACTCAGCCATAACTCTTTTAATCCCAGGGGATTTAGCATCAGAGGCCCAAAGGGTGGTAAAGAAAGATGTAAAATCTGCAAATCTTGAGTTCACTGGGCTTCTAGATAGGAATCTATGAACATATGATGCGTTCCTTGGGATAGAAAGAGCTAAAAATATTATATACCATGTAATGTCCTGGGAAGAAAGGGTGGATATGAAGTACAAATCTGTGGTAACCTGAAAATCTTAATCTTTTCACAATTTCAACAACATGGATACTGAACACCTGGCACATGCCAGCCCAATGCCACCTAGGCTAGTTTGTTTTCATAGCACACAAATGGTATCTATTGTGTATGTAAACTTGCCATGATGTTTAACATGCACAAACTGACCCCAGAACAGACTGATTCAATTTAAATTTTCAATGGTGAAAACTGCATTGGACCTAAAATTATTTGGAATTTTTTCTTCTTCTTCACATTCACTGTCTGTAAACTCTGGCGGAAAGTTCTGGTTGTTGGATTTTGACTGCTGTCTGAGAACGGATTATGTTCTAATTCCGAGGTACCCCTGTAAAAGGTCTAGCATCAGATGCTTTACACTGCTATGTTACCACTGATGTAAAAATAATCCCTTACTTAAACAGCCAACAGATTATCAACAGAGATATAGCGGAGAAAACTTACCTTATCTTTCTGATCGCCAGTTTCATCTGCATCATTGTTGGCTGTGATGTCGTTTTGTTTCTGAAAAGATAGGTTCATACAATGCTCTATGTTCTGCTGTTTAGAAAAAGATGTTAATCTAATTTTAAAATAATCTGCTTACTCTATCTTCCCCAGTCACTGCAAGTCAACAGGCTTGACTTCACTGCATTGGGTTATAATGACAGTCTCTCTCTCTGCAGAGCAGCTAGCCACTTGCTGAGAGTGACCCACAAAGCCATGAGCTCCGTAGCTCCAGCAATGAGCCCAGAGGTCTTCATACAAGCTGCACTCATGAACTGAGAGTGTCCATGAAACAAACCCATGACTTTTAAAACACAAAGCAAACAGCTTGACCACTTTTGCCACATTCTCCCTTATGATTTTGATACAGCAATAGTTTTGTGGTTATCTTCTGTTTGTGATTAACTGTAAGGTTTGTAATGCTCTTTCTTCGTGCTCACGATAAATGGACCCTCTTTAACTGAAAGTTCTGTTTCTTTATCCACTTTTAAGCTTTAGATTTGCTCCAGAACTTGAGTTTTGTGTGCATGTTTGTTTTACAGATGTGGCTTATTTATTTGGAGACTGCTGGTTCCTCAACTCTCAGGCAGCTGTATTCTGACTTTGAAGGAAACATCCCTAATTAGCTGACATTTACAATATTCTTTTAGGGGGCAGTGGGTTAATTCTCCCCCCCCCCCCCCCCCCCCCCCCGAACCCACAAGAGGGAATATCATACACCATATTACGTAATAAATTAAAATAAACCAACATAAACCAGGGTTTGTGTCGAGATATTAAGAAAATTGTCAGTGGCCAGTTTACATTTGGGCTGGCAAAGTACTTTATGCAATAATATTGCGAGTGTACACCCAGATACTGTAACTGTCTACTTCATTCAACAACAAACTGCAATTCTGGTAGCGGCTGTTGGTATTGGCACTTCTAGCAGCTTCCTTGTGTATTTTTTATGTGTGCATGTTTCTGTATTTTGTCAGGATTGTTTACTTACTAGTTTCAAAAGGGACAGTGAGGGGCTTTTCACTAGCATAGGAACAGTGCATTTATAATAGTGACCCCTCTGCAATGAGCTGAAACCTTGAATATCAACAAAAGAAAAGGAAAACACAAAAAGATAATTTTTTCACTATAACTAATGCAAACCGACACTTTACACTTTGGCGCACACCGTAGTAACAATATGTGTACATGAAATAAGATGACTTACATTCTTCAAATCTTCTTCCAATTTCTCTGCCTCCTCATCCGTCAGTTCCTTTATTTTTGGTTCCTCTTCCAACTTCTGTTTTTCCTTTTCTTCCTCTGCCTTTTTTTTAGCTAAGCGTTCCTGTCGCCTTTTTTCTTCTGCTTCACGCTCTACTTTTTCTTTCTGCAACTTTTCCTTGACGAGCTTTTCATGCTGCTCAAATTTGGCTATCACCAACTGAAACAAAATAATTACATTAGCACTGTTCTTAATTTTTGAACTAACAATATCTTGTAATAAAATATACAATGCATACATAGTTTGATATTAATTCAGATTCTAAAATAATGGATATATATTTAACAAATGGTTATTCAGTCTCATTATTAAAATAACATATTTATATGTTGCTTTGATGTTTGTGCAGTGTGAATTAGTGAGAAAACTAAAATTCCAGTGAATCAAAGAGGTGGGGGGGGGGGGGGAACATGCTCAATAAGAAATGTTGAGAAAACCTGTTCACAGTGTAACCAGAGTGTCCCGGCACTAGAACCCACAGGGCAAAAGAAACAAGGAGACCTGAATACTAATCTTCTTCTGCCTAGCATTCACTGCCTATAAACTCCAGTGGAAAGTTCTAGTTGTCTCTCCACTTCTAGACTTTGGCTTTTTTTCAGAACTTTAACTCTGCATGCACATCTGTTTTACACTGCTTTTTTGAATGCATACTGTTGGTTCCTTGCACTCTGTCCTCAACAATAAGAAGAGACATTACAGAAACAAGGTCTGATAAATACACCAATCTGAAACTGACCCAATATTTCTCTTTCTAAAATGTTAGCTTAAGAATTATGGCAAAAGGACAGCTCTATTTGCCTAGAAAAACCACAACAGCCAAAAAATGCTTGGGTTGGTTCGCAACATCCTGTAAAGGATACGCAACTAAACTATATCCTGTGTAGGTGTACCCTGAGACTGCAGTGTCTTGTCCAAAGCGTAAAAAATTATGATTGTTCTTTCCTGTTGAGTTCATTTATGCTTGTGGCAAGCAACTCTGATTTCCTTTAAGGCAAGACAACAGAAATAAAACTGAGCACAAAGAATCAAAACTCGGTATCATATGTAATCGTGTAGTGTTGTTATCTGCTTCTCTTACCTTTTCAGCCTGCAGGCCTCCAGCACCCGAGTAAAAGTCTGTTTTTCTGGCCAGGAATCCAAAGAAGACATCCAATAACTGCAGCAAAAACATTAACACTGTCAGCAGGTACACCGTTATATCTATCTACATTCAGTGATGTCCTCTGCGTGAGAGGTGAGGAACCAACAGTCTGCACAAAATAAGCCAAATGTGTTAAAGTGTATGTAAAACTGAAGTTCTGGAACAAGACTAAAGTCTGAAAGTGGATGAACCATCAGAAATTGCCACCGCAGTTTACAGCCGGTGAAAGCTAGGAAGAGGACCTCCCCTGATCCATCTAAAAGCTGGGGTCTTGTTTTGATGGATGGCTTGTGTGGTCTAATGATTCTCAGAGCTATGCGAATGAGGGACTTGTGCGGCTGGCAGGTTTAACCTTGTTGGGCAAGTCTTGAGAATGATCAGACCAAACTAGCACCCTGGTACCTCCAGACTGATCATTGGGAAAGTGGTTGACAACAGCACAACTCATTGTTAATTTTTTTTTTTTGCACCGTTATGTGTAAACAATGACATGAAGATGTAGACATTCACAGATGTTTCTTTGGAAACTGGGGTGTGGATGTCCTTATGCAATTATGTATATGGTGTCCATGGTTTATTAATTTAATATGTGCTTCGTAATTCTGAGGTTCTCGCAATCTGGCGCAGCAGACTGCCTTGCATTGTACTGGCAGTGGTATCAAAAGCTAAATCTTAATAAATCAATAATAATTAATTGCTTCAGAACATACAAGTTTAAAAACTTCCTGGTGAAATCCCAAACAGTAAAAAAAATAAAAAAATGCTGTGGCTGGTTATCCAACATTATGTAAAGGATACACAACAGTTGTGACAACTATATATTGACTAACTGGTATGTACAAGTGCCTTACAGCCTTGGGCTATCCTCCGAATAATGGGCACAAAAGACGGCAGCCGCAGAGACACCCTAACAGAGCCTCAGTCCCGTGTCAATTGCGCACTTCCAATGACTTAATTTGCGGTTTTCCAGGACTACCGCCGAGAGTATCCCTCACGCAGTGTGGATTGGGACTAAACTAGATGGCTGGAACTCACGAGCAGCAGCTTCCGTATCTCCTGCAGCTTTGCTCGGTGGCAGCAGTCGCCGGCAAAATGCAAATTAGGTCACTGGAAGTGCGCAATTGACACGTGACTGGGGCCCTGTTTTTGGCCGCCATCTTCTGTGCCTGTTATTCGGAGGATAGTCCAGCCTTGTTTAGTCATTTTTCCTATTCTAGCTGGGGTGTTGTGGAGTCCTAGAGTCAGGTTTATTCTTTCCTCTTCTAGTAGAAGTTCTACCTTGGGGTGTTGACTGATGTACCCTAAAAAAGTAAAAGTTTGGCTCTCCTCCAAACTTCAACCCGATTTTATGGCGGCCATAAAATATCTTTACAGGGCTCAGGCATATGTAAAATGCTGACTTTCTGCCAAGGAACAAATCGCGGCAAAACTAGGATTACTTGACAATTTCAAGAGACGCAACATTGCAGACGATAGTAAAAAAGTAAAGTAAAGTTCCCTTTTCACGCCTATTGGCGCATCGGGCATATGGGCAGAGCATCCCATATTTTTACAGACCATCAGCACTCTGTGGGTATGTGATGAGCATTACGCCGGCTGTCTTTACTTTCCCAGGACAGCCCATCCTGGTACCCATTTGAGGCTGGGTCGACCTGCGACGTCCCATACCACGACATATAGTAGCAGGCGATAATAGCGACCGTTGACAATTTCAAGCGTTTCTGCAGATGATAATAGCATGCGCAAAACTCGATTAAACTCACAGCCGAGCGTATCCCCTACGCCGCTATGCGCGGCGTGGATGGGGGGCTAAATTAGGTGCCTGGGACTCCTGAGCAAATTAATTGGAGGAAATTGCAGGAGATGCGGTAGCTGCTGCTCAAAAGTCCAAGCCATCTAGTTTAGCCCCCATCCGCGCCGCGCGTAGCAGCGCGGTGGATACGGTCGGCGGTGAGGCATAGTCACAGAAACAGGTCCGCAAGTAACGTATCGCTAAGACCTTGTTAGAGCATTTGTTTCGTTATACGGAGCCGGCATGTTTTTAATAGAACTGAGCACTGTAAGGATATTTTATGCCGCCATAATATTGGGTTGAAGTTCGGAGGAGAGCCAAAAGTTTTTTTATTTTAGTTTTACTTTACCTGGTTGTGTAGATATATTATACATGTTATACATACACAAAATCTGGCAAAAGCTTAACAAGGCCAAGCAATTTTAAATATCATATCTAATTATTCGGCTCTCCTTTGATCCCCCCCCCCCCGCCCATATAGTTTCGTCACCCAGCTTCTGAGTTGAGTGCATGGTGTGACACTGTGAGCTACGAGTGTTTTTCGTTGGCACAGGAGCGGAGCAACAATGGGGTGACCCGTTTGCTATGATGCTGAAACTAGGATTACCAAATTACCAGATTACCCCCCCCCCCCCCCGCCCATATTATGGCGGCCAAACAAATACAAATTTCTTTTTTTTTTCTGACTTACACTTACAGTAGTTACTGAAATATAATTAATTATGTGATTAAAGTATCATAAAGATCTTAAATAAAATGTTAATTCTTTCTCACTTCCTGAATTCCTCCCTCACATTGCTGAGCCATGGCCAAAAGCATGCCATCAAACCGCTCTGGATCCGCTGAATTCGACATGGTGAAAAAACGCTAAGAACTGTAGGCTGTAGGTGTGTGTTCAAGTCTGGTCTGGTCCTTGTCGCTAGAATCTTCACAAACCGAAACCACGGCTCGCACGTTACCGGTCTTACTTCCGGTTAGTGGCTATCAAGACGGTCCCAATTTTGTTTCCCTCTCCAAGAGGGATAAACACCAGGTGACACAAAGTACCACCATGCGAAAGAGGATCATCCGTGAAGAGGTCCCAGAAACCACTGTCAGCTGTTAGGCCATATATGTGGCCCAGCTATATGCAGGGCCCGTGGCAGAAGCCAGGGTGGGGCTTCAAACAAAAAAAAATTCATCCCACATGAGGACGACTTTCAATAACAATGGATGGATGTCAAAAAGTTCAAAAACTTATCACAAAAGTACTTCCCCAACAAAGCCCATTGTATATGCTTGTATGAGTCGTCCTTATGTGGAATTGTGATTTTTCGTTATTTGAAGCCCCAACGTGGCTTTTGTCGGGGCCCTGAATATAACCGGGCCATAAATATGGCCTAAGGGGTTGAAAGGGGTTTCTGGGACCTCTCACCGGTAGATCCTCATCCGCATGGTGGCACTTTGTGTCACCGGGTATTTATCACTTGTGTGATGTTCTGATGGGGTACAACAAGCAAGCAAGTAACAAAGCCCAAACAAGCCGTAATAGCATTGTCTATGATTTCCTAAATATCCTGAGGAGAAGGCAGAAGCAAAGTTCTTCGGAGAAATTTTTAATAAATGTCAAACATAGTGAGCCTCAACCAGGTTCAAGTTGGGGGATAATCCAGTTTCGTCCTTTTAAGGATGAAATTTTTTTGTTATTCGAAGCCCCCACCTGGCTTTTGCCAGGGGCCGCGGACACTCCCACATCGGTTATAATTATGGTAACAAACAGTGTTGCTATTTCACTGAATATTGTTTGGTGCTAATATTTTATGGCTTCCGTGTCTATCAGTGATTAGTGATTAAAAAGGGTTACCATCACAGCACTCCGGACAAATCCATAGGTGCTCCGATTTCCTCCTCAAAAGCTCCACAAGTGTAAAACGACTAATGATGCCTGTTCTGTGTTGGTTAATGAAACGTCTTGTCCCCCTAGTGAAATGTTCATTTCTTGCAGCTCCAGGCTGCACCCCCATGTCCATAAATCTAGAAAGGGATATGGAGTCATGTCCTTTGTCGTGCTCCTCGGTACTGTAAGTGCAGCGCATGTCAATTATAACTTCACTTCTGTCCAGTACTGGGCCAGCCATATCAACCGCAGTGTCAGCAAGATAGTCTGCACTCTCGTTTCCTTTAACACCCGCATGACCTGGCACAAATATGAATGTTGGGCAGCTATTCGTGAAGTGCTTAGTGTTGCAATCCATTCGTGCCTGATAAATCCAGCTTTTTTTTTTCTAATCATATTCATCGAGTCACTTAGAATGCATATGTGTATGTGTATGAACTTTTGAGTACCAAGCCATGCTAATGCTCTTGTTACAGCCATGGTTTCTATTGTAATGCTACTCGCTGTAACAGCAAAGGCGCCATTCATCTCCTTGATGGTTTTCCCCATTGAGCTTACTGTGAATGCCCCTAATTACTGACCCATCTGGGTAAACTATAGCATCCCCTTCATCTGTGTTTTCGTCAATCAGTATTTTGACTAAAGTGTCAACAATGCCAGGAATCTGCTCTCTACAGCTTCCATGAAGTGTGATATGGACTGTTTCCATGTCTATCTTACCATCCAAATCGTGTCCGTCTCATTCCACAGGCATGGATCTGATTAGATATGTTCCTGATTGTGCCATCCTTTGCTGGTGTTGATATTAATTGGGCTGCCTTTTGAGCTATTCTTTGTGATATTGATGTACAAGTTCTTTGTGGGGAAAAGGGGGGGGGGTAGTAGCTGTTACCACTGATGTTCTGCCATTAGTTTCTCAGTTGCTATCGCGATATTGACCAGGCTTCGTCAACGTTGTCGGTATGTCGTCTCCGTCCATATCGCAATACGTGATGTTCCAGGCCGTCATTCTGTTGCTTGCTATGAATATTTTTTTCTGGACCAGGTGTATTCTTGTGTACTTCGTTAGATCATCAGTTCTCGTTATGCCTAGTGGCATATGAGGCTTCAGAGAGGACTTTCCATGCTTTCCTGTCCTGTGCAATCTTCAGTGCAGTTTTCCATGTCAAAGATGCCGCACTCAGGTCACTTTACATCGTTCGTCGCCATGTTGTTTTTGGGTGCCCCTGTTTTCTCTTTTCCTCTGGTGTCCTTTTGAGAGCTGTTTTGGCAGGTATATCAGAATTAATTCTCATAAAGTGGCCAAGCCATTTCCATCTTCTCATGGTAATCATACTGTCTAAAGTTTCTTGGTTTGTGACTTGAAGTAGTTTTGTGTTTGAGATTGTATCTGGCCAGAAAATTTTAATAATTCTACGTAGACATGTGTGGTGGAAGGTGGACAGCTTGCGTGCATCCTTTTTGGTCATTCTTCAGCATTCCGCTCCATAAGGAAGAACTGGCAAAATGATGCTCTTGTAGAGTCGGAGTTTCGTACCTCTGCAGTAATTGTTGGATTTCCAGATTTGCCTCATCCTTCCAAAAGCAGTTCTAGCTTTGTTTAGACGTAACTGAATGTCCTCTTCGGTTCCTCTTCGGACACCACACTGCTAAGATATGTGAAATGTTCTACATTTTCAAGAGTTTGGTTATTTACGGTCACTGGTTGTTGGTATGGACTGCTTGTCATAATCTTAGTTTTCTTTGTATTTATTCTCAGTCCCACCATTTCTGCTGTGTTGTGTAGTCTGTTACTTTTTTCTTGTATATGTTCATGTTTATGTGATAGGTGTGCTATATCATCTGCAAAATCAAGGTCCTCAAGCATGGTGAATGGTGTCCATCGTATGCCTCTCAATGTCCTGTCTACTGTGTTCTGCAGTATCCAATCAATCACAAGGTTGAAGAGGAGAGATGACAAACACATCCCTGTCTTACATCTGTCTTTACTGGGAAAGATGTATTGTAATTTTTAATACTGCAGGAAAAGTATTTTTAGAAGAGAGCAATTATGTTGACAATTTTTCTGGAATTCCAAAATGTCGTAAAATTGTCCATAGACCGTCTCTATGGACGCTGTCAAAAGCTTTCTCAAAGTCCACAAAATCTATATTAATAAAAATGTTAATTTTCCGAGTTTGTTAACTATAAACTCGGAAACTACTGAACCGATTGCTTTCAAATTTTCACACAACATTGCCTTTGACTCAAAGCGAGATTTTTTTTCAGAAAATTGCACAAACCACGAACGACGTAGCTCCAGCAACGGTCAAATCATTATTTGTTTCGTTGCCGGCCCGGATTTGTTTTTAGTTGATTGGTCATTTTTGACTGCTGAGCTCTTTTTTTACTTTGCATTACTATATAATTTCATTTCCCCTATCTTCTAGAGTGTTTGGTAGCGTAGTTGTAACTATTCTGCTTATCATGCGGGTGACCCGCGTTCGATTACCCGCTGGGTGATATAATTTCTTTTAGCCCTTAACTGGGCGGCTGGCAGGTTGTGTTTGGCTAGGCTTCTCTGTACAAGTTAGTGCTACCTATTTAAGTCTGGGTGGACACGGATGCCAAGCTCAATTTAGTTACAATATTTCGTCACATGGTGACTTTCCCATCTTTCGGAGAGGATGATATGATTGGGGGAGGGGTGGGGTTAGGGCAGACACAGTTAGCTGAGAAAGCTTAAAATGGTATTTTAAAGTTCTCATTTAACTATTTCTATTTTAATAATTTCACCATGAATGATTTTTCAATCCTTCGGAGAGGGAGATATGATTGGAGGTGGGGGTGGGGGATGGGGTTATGCCAGACACAGTTAGCTGAGAAAGCTTCAAATATTATTTTAAATTTCTTATTTCCTAACTATTTCTATTTTTAAAATTTCGCCATTGATGATTTTTCAATCCTTTGGAGAGGGATATATGACTGGGTCGAGGGGAGAGGAGGGGGATATGACAGACACTGTTAGTTGAGAGCTATTTTCTTTCCTCTCCATTTCACCTTTCTGGGCCACAGCAACGCGTGGCCGGGTACAGCTAGTTAATTTATATACTTCTCTGCCATTCATTGCATTGTTCTAAAATGTTACGTATGGCGAAGATGTGCTCAGTTGTTCATCTGCCCTTTCTGAATCTTGTTTGTTCCACTCGTAGGCATTTATCTACTACTTTTTCAAGCCGCATTATGATGATTTTACAAAATATTTTGCTTGGTACTGAAAGTATAGTAATTCCCCTCCAATTATTGCAGTCTGTTAAGTCTCCCTTTTGGGGGATTTTGACTATTGTTCCTTCAGTCCAGTCATCAGGCAACACTTCTTTTTCCCAAATATCCTTGAACAATGCTAATGGTTCTAGAATGCTAGCAGTTTTGTTGGGATCTACTTTGCGAAGTTCTGCTGGCAGTTCGTCTTTGCGTGGTGCTTTGTTGTTCTTTAAAGTGTGGATAGCTTTAAGAATTTCTTGTTTGCTTGGTGATTCAGTAATAATGTCAATGTCCTGAGAGGCTGGTTGAATATCTGGGGGATTTGCAGACTTCCGTTAGATAATCGCCGCTTAATATAATCTGTAGGCTGAAATTCGTCACTGCTCCTCTTGCCATTTATCTTAAGTCTTTTTCTTTTGTTTCAAGAGCTCTTTCGTGGTTTTCTTTGGTTAAACTGCTCTGCCTCTCTCACCTAGTCTTGGCTTTTTCTTTTGAGTTTTGAGTTTTTTTTTTTTTTTTTTTTCGTTTTTCTGTTCGGTTTGGGAGGCTCAATATTCACGATATTGTATAATATCGAGAAAACAAAACACAGATCGTCAAGTTAACCAACTCCGAAAAAGAAGCGCTGAGTTCTTCTTCTTCTTGTTCACCGGTTGTGAATCCCAACGGAAAGTCCTGGTTGTTCGTCCATTTAGACTTCTTGCGTTGTACCAGGACCTGAGTTTTGTGTGTGCATCCGTTTTACTGGCTTATTAGTTTGCAGTTCTTGTTCCCTGCCTCTCGAGCAGATGTACTCCGACTTTGAAGGAAGACGTCGATCCTGTTTCTAGGACGACAGTAGCCATTGTTTCGCGGGGACACGATGTTGCCGCATTTGTTTGGCATCCTCGTCATCTCTTTATCTACAGATGTTACCCCAGAGAACCCCTTTAGGGCAACCGAGTGTAGATTGGAGTTTGGTACTGCAGTATGGAGAGGCATGCATCAGGCAAGGCTTCACCTGTTTCGTCCCAACACCAGGGAAGTGGCTGGTGGATACGGGTATTTAAACCTTTCTGCCAATTAGTAGGATTTATGACGATCGAACATTGAGATTTTGCTGGTGTGCCATTAGATGTACCCTTGTCTGACACGTGAGCCTACCCAGCAGGTTAGTAGTCGCTGTCGCGGTGTACCCCAACGCCTTTTTTTTTTATTTCTTTCAGTAATTCTCTTTTCATTTGTAGGCTTTCCAGATTGGATTGTCCCCCCCCCCCCCCCCCCCCCCCCCCCCCCCATGAAATTCGACCTAATCTTCTGTACACCCACATCTCCCGAGACAGTTCTTTTTTCTAGTTGCTTGTTAATTGTCCACGTTTCTGCACCACACTGTAGGACTGAGTCTGCATAACATTTAACGATTCTCATTTTTAGTGTGCTGTTCATCTCTCTAGCTGTCAGTAACTTGTGTATCGTATTGAAGAAAGTGTTAGCCATTCCTATTCTTTTTTTGATTTATGTTTCACTTCTTCCTTTATTTGTTAAAATGTGTCCTAGATAGGAAAAAACCTGTTACTTGTTCAAATAGTTCTCTGTTTACAGTGATGTTCAATGTTGGCCGCTCTTTTCCCTTGTTAATTACCACTGTTTTTGTTTTTTCGAATAATAATGACTAAACCACACTCTGCACTCAGCCTGTTGATCAGCTTGTTCTTGTAACTTCTGCTCACATTCTGCTAGAAGCACTGTGTCATCTGCGTATCTCAGATTATTTATTGTTCTTCCATTAATATTCAGTCTCGGCAGTTCCTCAACCTGTTTGAAAATGTTTTCTGTATATAAAAAATAAGTTGAAAACCCTTGTGGAAAGCAGGCACACATGCCTGACGTACTCCTCTTTCTATCTGTATATGTGGCGAGGTGATGTTGTTGTGTCTAACTGTTGCTATTTATTGCCAGTATAGTTACTAATAATTCTGATATCCTTTCCATCTGACCCTATATTTTGGAGGCATGCAATTAGCTTTTCATGTTGCACCCTGTCAAAGGACTTCTTGTAATCTGAAACATGCGTTAATACTTTTCTGGACTTCTATATATTTTTCAGTCAGCATCTTGAAACAAATAATGGCTTCCCAGGTGCTACTATTTTTCCTAAATCCAAACTGTTTCTTAGGCATATCCTTATTTATTGACTTTGAATTCCTTTTTGAATGATCTTGAGAAATATTTTATTTTTATGGCTCATTGTCTGTGTTTAGGCAACAAATTGTTTGCTCTAAACCCGTGTGGATTCTAAAACCCCATTCAGGATTTAAAAAAACAAAAAACAGAATAGACTTGCTGCCCCTTGCAAACTTGTTGTAAAGGCGACTAATTATGTTCTTTTGAAATCGGTTGTGTGGGATCTGATGTAAATGGAAGAAGATAGGATAAGAAGGATGTATTCAGTCGAAAGGCGCACACATAGCTGTAGACCACAACACACCGTGCCAACTGCCATTTTAGGGGCCCTTGCAGAAAAAGAAATGCATGGTTCTTTTCTGTTGTAACCACATCACGCGAGATTTATGGAATCTCATAGTATGAGGTAGGATTAGGGCTAGTGTCAAATGAAGAGCGATAGTACTAACCCTAACCCTCTATAGTATGAGATTTCACTAAATCTAGCTTGATGTAGTGACCTTACAGAGAAGAACAGAAAAAAAACTATATTTAGGTAATAAATTATTTGAGCCCTTATTATTTAAATCCATGATTCGTATAAAAGTCTTAACCGGAAGTATAACAGAAAGTCACATATCCGCATTGATAATTCGGGACCAGTGTTGCCACTTTTCTTTGACAAAAAACATCCAGAACAGAGTAGAAAAATATCTAAAAACATCTAAATGTGCGTGGAAAACATCTACAAAAAACATCAAAATGGAATGCGTCACAAATTACATAGCTAATGATATGACTTACCCCATAGAATCATGTCCTCATCTTCACTGATGTCTGCCTTACAAGAGATCCACATGATAAACTTAGCTTTTATGATGAAGTTGAAGCTTCAGATCCAAAATGACTTTGGTATGCTTTAGCTGTTCCAATTTCTGTTAATACACAATCAGGAAGCTGATAAGTGGAATAGCATTTTCCTACTCTCATCAGGCCGAATTTTATTGTCAAGATAGCATTTAAGAGGTCAAATTTCACCCTGTTTCTTAGGTTATATTTGATATAATTCATAGCACTGAAAACCTTTTCTACGTCAGCATTTGAGTGGGGTAGTATCATGGCAGGCATGGTACATTCAAAGAGCTTACAGAATGGACTGTTTGATGAGGTATCTTTAAATTTCTCACTTCACTCCAAAACGCTTCAGTTTCTGTTTCTTTACAATATTTAGGTTTGTCCTTTACTGGCTGAAATAGGTTGCTCACAGAACAGTAAAATATTTTTCCATAGATCTAGATTTTCAATACTTTGTCTGCATTGTTGCTGTAATATATAATTAATACACACACCAAGCACTTTCAGTTAGTTAGTTAGTTATTCCTCTTGTGCCAAAGATGGCGCATAGGGCAGAGGTCATAGCTTTCCACGTCTGTCGGTTCTTTGCCACTTGATGTAGGTCTTGAGTGCGACTGAGACCTATGGTTGAGCTCTCCCTTGTGATGGTTCTACGGAGGGTTTCTTTTGGTCTTCCCTGTTTTCTTTTACCCTCTGGTGACCATATGAAGGCTTGGTGGGGAAGTCTCTGTATGTCCATTCTGAGTACGTGACCGATGTAATTCCAGCGACGCATTCTAATAAAATCAGACACATATTTTTGTTTTGTTTCCTGTCTTATAGATGTATTGGACCTAAAGTCCGACCAGTGAACATTCAATAGCTTTCGGAGGCATCTATTCTCGAAAGCGACTAGTTTCTTATCGATTGATACTGATGATTTCCAACTCTCACAACCATAAGTTAGCACTGGGATCACACAGGAATTGAAGACCTTAAGTTTCGTGTTGTTGCTGAGTGATCTTGACTTCCAAATGTTTGACAGTTTGTTAAAGGCACTTGATGCTAACGCGATTCGAGTCGTTATTTCTGATGTTGTATCTCCCGCAGAGGTTATCTTGCTCCCTAAGTACCGAAATATAATTTGATTCGTCTAATAATAAACTATATTTATTTGTAGAAATATAACTGAAGAAATCTTTTTTTTTTCGAAGTGAGAAAATAGAGTATTTCTTATAATATGTGTACAACTGCTGTGATGCATTTTTACATCATTCATAACTTTACTTTCAGAAATAGTGTTTTTAAACAAATCAATCAAATGGTCACATTTTGAAATCGCACAATGACAACTTGAAAACATTGCGACCGATCCTTCAACTTTTGATGATTCATTTATCAGTGTAGTTCTGAAAACAGATGTCAGCGGTGTAATCCCTTTGAATGGAACTGCAGTTTTATGCTTTTTAGTCTCTGCGTGATTCTTCAAGTCTTGTATTTTCGCTTTAATTTCACACTTGTAGTACTTACAACTAGCCTTGGTCATATTCCCAGGAACTGCCATCACCTAGTCTTTAATGTTGTCATCATGCAACCACTCTTTCCGAAATTGTTGCTCATACTTTACTTTTAGCATGTTGATAGGTTTTTTTCAAGGTGAAAGCCACATATGAAGGTGGGCAATTATATATAAAAAAAAAAAAAATAGTAATATGAAAAAGAAACACAAAGTCAGCACAGTGAGGAGACGATTGACACAAAGTTAGTATGACTGACTGACTGACTTTCTAAGCCACCAGGACATCACACAAGCGACAAACATCCGATGACACAAAGTGCCACCATGTGGGTGAAGATCACCGCGGAGAGGTCCTAGAAACCGCGTTCAGCTATTAGGCCACAATTATGGCCAGGCTATATTGCGGCATGGCATGAGCCAGAGTAGGGCTTTAAACATCGAAAAATTGCATCCTTAAAAGGACGTCAAGATTATCAAAGTTAGTATGATTTACGCGAGCTTTTAATCAGTACCAGGGCTGCCAGATATTTGAGCGTTGACCCCAGTGAGAGTTCAAAGTTTAAGTAATCGCAATTGTCACAATGTACATGCCATACCAAAACAAAAATATTGAAGTAAAAATTTTACACAGTAATTATTAGACTGACACATGAAAGAAAAAAATCTATAAAATATCTAACTCCAATATATATATATATATATATATATATATATATATATATATATATATATATATATAAACATCTACCATCTAAACGTCAAAAACACCATCTAAATGCAAGGGAAAACATCTAAATCTGGATGTAAAACATTCAAAGTGGCAACACTGTTCGCGTCCTCCGTGGAGTGCCATATTAAAGCCCCGACACAAATTGTAGCCTTCCTTTTTGCTGCGACCATGGGTTTCTCCAACCAGGTAGGCTTCGTTCTGCAGAGAAAATGATTGCAGTGTTAAATTATTTTGGTATGATGACCTAATTATGCTGAACAGTTTAAAGCTTGTACATTCATATAGCTCGAAATAATTAACAGCTCACGATTTCATCCTCCCAACTATATAAATTTCACACAAAAAGACACGAGTTGTAACTAAATCAAGAATGACCCGTTATCGATAGCTAAAGTTTGCTATGTACATCTGTCTCAGGCGCGAGACATTTGTCTTTCTTAATCTTATGCCATTATATTGTTATGAAATTTTTAAAAATATTCGCGGTGTGTATTTTCTAATAAATGTTCAATATTAAAAAGGAAAGAGTAATCTGTGAAATTTAAATTAGAAGCATGGCCATATTTGTAGACGGAAATAAACACGTGTGTTCATCATATCGCTATGTTGTGCATCTTAAAACTATGTCTCACACTCAGTTACAAACGTTGGCGACACTAATTTATTTAGTTATGAATTATAAGTCATTTGCATCGTAGTCAAACTGTTTTATGTTTGTATAAGCCAAAATTAAATTGCTGCGTGCAATGTCTTCTCTTTTTTTTAAAAACTTATGTTACTTGTCTAGTAACCATCACGTGTTAACCACTACAGGTTTTCTAATCCTGAAAATAAAACCATTTTTGATAATACATTGTAATTATTATGGATAAAGATTCCTCTAAGGTAATGTATGTTGAAGAAGCCTTATAAAGTGTATATTTGATAACGACACTGACATTCGGGTACTCCTCCAGCCAGTATTTATCTTGTTTATTTAATAATAATGTAATCTTAACAAGATAGAACTGATTAGACCAAGCATCTGATGCCACTGTTTACAAGGTCATGCAATTACAATACCACGGCTTTCCTCTGAATAACGGTCTCAAATATTAAGGCTAAGAAAATACCCTAACAGGGCCTTAGTGTTATGTAAATTGCTGACCTCTTTCAGGCGACTATACTGCCACAGCTTGAGTATCCCCCGCGCCGCTACACATGGAAAGGGGCTAAACTAGGAACTCACAAGCAAATAAAATGGAAGCTGCAGGAGATGCGTTAGATGCTGGTGAGTCACAGCCATCTAGTTTATCCTCCCTCCGCTGCGCGCGGCGCTGGAAAAAGCTCTCAGCAGTGATTACAATAACCTCAGATAATAGTCCCAAATTAGGCTAAGAAAATACCTAACAGGGCCTCAGTCATATGTAATTTGCGGACCTCTTTCTAGCTATCAGCTAGATGGCTGGGACTCACGAGCAGCAGCTACATCTCCAGCAGTATTTTCTCTTTTTTTTTTAGCACCCCCACCACGGCGCAGGGGATACTCTTGGTGGTGACGGTATAGTCACCGGAAAGAGGTCCACAATTTACATATGACTAAGACCCGGTTAGGGTTTTTTCTCAGCCTTGATAATTTGGGACTGTTATTCGGAGGATAGGCGACATTTCTGACCAAATTTGAACAGCACCGATTGGCCTGTCTGCACATATACTTAACTGAGTGTATTTTACCACAGCTTGGGGACTAAGATGCGTGCAGTTTTAATTTAATAATGTAATAGTGTCGTAAAACATATTTATTAGTGACATAGCTCTAGTTTTATCAATGATTTTTAAATTATATTTTCAGCCAATTGTGATTGATGGCCGTGGCCATCTGTTGGGTCGACTTGCTGCAGTCGTTGCCAAGACACTGTTGCAAGGTACGTGTGTATATTAGTTAAATACTTATTAGGGTTATATTGTTGGACCATCTGTATGTTAAGAAAACATGCATTTTGTACAAGTACTTCAAACTGGGTTTATGCCCATCGAAGAGGAAAGAAACAGTGCACACAAAGAACTCTGAAACAGGAGTCCAAAAATGGATTGATTGTCAGAACCTTTTGCCCAGCTTTACTGCCATTAAACAACCATAAGACCTCATCTCTGATGTAATAATTGAAGCACCCAAAAGAGCACCTAACACTTAGGATGTGACTGATCCTTAAATTTGTTTAGGCATATTAGAGCAATTACCAGGGGTAATGTAGACAGTATATTTGAACTGGTTTGTATAAGGAAATAATACTATCGTTCATCGACCTTGCTGCCACGAGATACGAAGATAAGTGATATTGTGGTGTTGGCTATTCCTATGTATGTTCTGGAGAAGGCTCCAAAGCCGCAGTGTTAATGGTTTTTTATATGGTGAAGCTCGCTGATATACTTTTCGTTTGGTTTTATATCCCTACTTGTATAAGGGACTAGATGGTATTGTGTCCAGGGCAGAAGGGATACATGCGTGTTGTGTGATATGATTATGTGAATAGCATGTTTATGATTCGTTTCCATGTCTTCCTTAGGTCAGAGAGTTGTCATTGTCCGATGTGAGGGAATCAACATTTCTGGAAACTTCTACAGAAACAAGTGTAGGTATTTAATCAGTATGCTGCTTTTTGTGTGTAGATGTGCAGTTGTCCCACTTTTTTGTACATAGGCTTGTCCGCCCTGATGTTTTAGGATGCTCGCTCTATGTCTACCTAACCACAATATTGCATTTTGTAAGCAATTTATATGCATTCCGCAATGACAAGTAATATCTTGTACATCTATTTGCAGTGAAGTTTCTGAAGTACTTGAAGAAGCGTTGTAATGTGAACCCAGCTCGTGGTCCTTTCCATTTCCGTGCCCCAAGCAAGCAGTTCTGGAGGGTTATCAGAGGTGGGTCTTGTGTTATGTCTGTTAGAACTTTTACATGCTGATGCTGTTGTATGATGATTAACCTTACCTACACTGATGAACGTGAATAGAAAGTTATATATCTGAAACGCAGCTGTTATTTATATTATTTATTGTATGTACATTTTTGACATTCATCACAGATAGCGTTCATTTCTGTAGATTGGAAGTTCACATTTAACACACTCGTGCTAAATGGGAACTAATAGCAATTATTAGGGTGTTTAGTCCAATTTTATTTTTTGGGCCTTTTGCTTTTAAACCACGGTAGCTGTTTGGAGGTTTAAAAACAGAGTTCAACGGTACCTCAGTGAAGTCTGTATGTCAGTTCTAAGCGGAGATATTCACGTTTTAGTGACGGAAAGTGTTCCCAAAAATTTTAATAGAAAAAAACAGAAACAAGATGGCGGCCTGTTCCCAAGTGAAAACTGGACCTAAAGTGACAAAATTTGTATGCTTTTTGTCTACACCTCTTATGTTTTTTGCTGAACCCCTTAGCAACCATATATCATTGCATTCAGGGCAGCAAGCTCTAACTAAAGTTGTTGCTTTTTTAAAAATATGATGTAATGCAAATCTAATTAACAAAGAAAAAGGGTAAAATTATCAGTATTATTAATTAAATACCTTATGAATTATTATTATCCAGTTAGTCTTGCAAAACGTATACTGTAATATGCATACTTTTGTAACGATTCTCTGTGTTATGATGTATCTCTTCTTATTTGTTGTAAAATGCTTTTTCTCGCACTGTCACTTTTGTGTTTTTGTGTGCACATCTGACCGAAATTGGCTTTGCTTTATTACGCCACTGTTAAAAAATGTTTGATAGCGAGCGGATTGACGTCATTGCATTGTTACTGGTTTCATATGGCTTGGTCTTTCTTCACATAACCGTGAATGGTTAGCCGCATGCCAAGAGCTTAGCACGAAGCCTGAATACCGAAGCTCCAGCAACACTCCTCAGAGGTCCCCGCTAACCCCAAAAAATGTCATTTTTGAGTCGAACAACGCAGTTGTAAAATGGACACACCGCAACCTTCCAAGCGCGAGGTTAACGGCTTGACCACTTTGCTACGGAGACCCCCAAATTGTTTGATAATGAAGTGAAAATATGCACCCTTCTTACTGGTTTAACACAATCCTTTTTTCAGTCTTTGCGAGTTATTCTTTCATTTTATTGATGATGAGCACATTTTACCACAGTGTCCCCCTCTTCTTAACCAGTCGCTGCTTAATCCTTTATTTACTTTTTCAAAATAATCTAAAGTATTCACTCATACCCGATTCGTGATTCAGTGCTATGTTATCATGGAGTAAAATTATTAAATAAGTTCCTTTGTGATTCACTTTGGATTTATGTTGTGTTTTCACGGAGCAGCGTTTCATAAGGTAAGAGTCGAAAGTACATTCTACTTGATTACTTTATTAGCGTATCTATGACTCATGTGATCTTTTTGCTGGCTAGTAAATATTATCTCATAGACTGACAGATGTGATCTAAGATATGCTGCTGTCCTTTTTGCCACTGTCATTGTGACTGCTCGGTCAAAATCTAAAAATCAAGTTAAACAGAAACAATGTTAAATAAAAGACTAATAATATTATAAATAATTATATACATATTTTAAATATTATATTATAATGAAATAGTTTTTGTAATATTATTATTTTATTTATATAAAAAATTAATAAAATATAAAATAGTTATGATTGTTAAAATTATACGCAATATCAAGAAGTCCAGGCATGTTGCGTGAAATTCTGTATGTGAGGGTCAATAGATAAAAAATACCTACAAAAACACTCATATTAAATTATAATTTATGCATTAGAAAAAGTTAAAAAGGTTGTATATTAAAAAAATACAACATTAGCACAATGGCATTCAGTGAATTTCATTAATTTGTTTGATTAATGAGTGCACTGTCTGTTCATTTGCAAAGCAAAAACCTGAAAAAAATTATTTAGCCATTTTCTAGCGTGTCGGAAAATCATCAAAATAATATATTCAGCTAATTAAATTTAGTAAAAGTAATAAACATACAAAGATAAATTACTATTGTATTATCTGAACATTAATTTGCTCCTATTATAAGCATTGTCAATATATAACAGACACGCTTTTGAATTCACGCCGTCCGCCATTTTGTTTTAACCTAACTAATTCAACTAAATTTTACAAGACTGGATGCGGAAAAAATTAAATTCTGAAACTATTAAAGAACATATCTAACTGAAATTTTACATCTGTATGTAAAAATGGACGCAGAGTTCAATATTACCACAATGGAGATTATGGAAAGCCTAAAAATAAAGATATTAAAAAATTTACTAGCCCTAATCCAAATTACAAAATACTTTTTAGTGAGTAAACGTCTTTTCTAAAAACACATGCTATTCAGCAGTCTGACATCTGCTACAGGTATCGCGCGTGTTCGGATTCGTTTCTGAACAGCCAGTATTAACTCGGGTTTTTATAGTGACTAGTATGGAAACGCTTAAAATTCAGGGACAGGAAGTCCCTTGTGTTACCAAGCAAATCCATTTCCGGTTTAATTGTTTACATTCCATAACAACGAAATCGCTACAATTATAATGCATCTCTGCTGTGACATTTTGGTCTTTGTTAACCAAGCCTTCTTTCAGTATGAGTCTATGTTAACTTATATAAATGTAACCTTTATAAGAGCTGCTTTCACCTTTTTAAGTTATAAGACTGAAGTAAACGCTTACTTTGTCTGTTTGTATTTCTATGGTCAACCTGTGGCTCTGTTTATACAACATTGCTCTTTTGTCTTCGTTGATGTTAATATTATAATTGTCGCTTGCTGAGTGAAGTCAGTTGTGAAGTTAAAGCACTTTAGATGTCAGTGCTATGATTGCCTGTGCTGGTGAAAAGATATCCCTTCAGTGATTTGATGTTGGGCTAATTTCTAAAATTGTGATAAATATCAGTAGGACCTGGTAGGTAAGGTTGCCACTAGGTATATAGCCACAAGAGTATACAATTGCACACTAGAAGAGGTACATAGATGATTCTTATTCTTTCTACAACTCCCTTCAAAACACTAACTCATCACTCATATCTCTGATGGAAGAGAAGATAGTATTGTTCCACAAGTGTACATTTGTTATAGCAGTCACTTGCACTGAAAATCATCCAATGATGTTTTATTTTACCTACATTGTCAGATGATCTTGAATGATACACTTGATCTGAGGATGTTTTGAGAACTAGTGCAAATTACGGTACTCTGACGAACGATGACTTATTAGTGCTTGAAGAACTAAATCATGACATGGTTATATGGTGTGGTTTGACTGTCCTTTTTGCAGGAATGTTGCCTCACAAAACTGCCCGTGGAAAGGAAGCCCTTGAGCGTCTGAAGGTGTTTGAAGGTATCCCACCACCATACGACAAGAAGAAGAGAATGGTAGTTCCATCAGCTCTCAAAGTTCTCAGACTGAATCCTGCAAGGAAGGTTAGTGTTTGTCGATACTGAGCTAAAGGTGCAGCTACAAGAACTTGGTCATACTAATTTCTAAAATGCTAACATACATTGTTAAAGAGACTAATAGAGCGATTACTTTTTTTCTTTTTATGTATAGTTTTGCAACAACAGGCACTAGAAACCACACAAAAAGCTATGAACTAAGTATGAGGGATTTAAGACATCTTGCGCTCTAATATATAAATTATTGCTGCTGTGTATGGAATCATTCTGTGATGCTAAATTTGTTTACCTACATTGTCAGATGAGCATGATTGATAACGCTAGATCTGAGAATGATTTCATACTTTTTTTTTAACAGGTTACATTAAAAAAAAATCCTGAATTGATTTTTGTCAAGGTTTAGTATGGCATGATAGTTTAACCTCAGTTATGTATCGCTGAGTGCAGTATTACCAAATGTAATCCTTGTATTTTTATTAGATTTTTTAATAAGGTTGCAACTCTTATTAAATTTTGTTTCTTCACATTAAACAGTTGTAAACTCCTGCTGAAAGTTCTGGTTGTTTGTCCACTTTTGGACTACAGTCCTGTTCCAGAGCATCCAATTAAAAGATCTGACTAATTTGTACGCTGACAGCTAATTACTTGCCTCTTATGCAGATGCACTTAAAGAAAGCTCCCAATTAGTCGACTTTTGCGACATGCTTTTAGGTAGGCAGTAAGCCTGTTCTTGTTTTCCCTAAAATATGTCCCCAGAACTGACTTTACGTTGTCTAATCAGTGATATCAAATTTTTTAAAATTTATTCAGTTGTATAACTAGATATTTAATTACAGAAAACAGATGCTACTCATGGCTTTATAGGTACACAATCAAAGAAGCTGTGTTAATGATGAGACATACCTTACCTACCCCGACCAACGTGAGCAGAGAAATGTATTTCTGAAACACAGCCTATTAAAATATCTGTACAGTTGTTCAATTTAAGAAATTAAATTGAGAACTCAACACTCATGTTGCTTTGTTTAAAAAAAACTGTTTTCAAGTCACGTTGGATTGTGTAGACAGGCTAGATTTATTCAGAGAGGTGTTTTTAGGGCCTAGCATTTAGATATAGGCTAGAAAGCTTTTCCTAACAACGCCTATCTTTTAAAAATGTAATGTTTTTTTTTTTTTTTGCTGTTAAAAAAAAATTTTTTTTTTTTAGTTGCACAGAAAAAAAGTTAAGGGATCATCATTGTTTCAAAATTGTGTGTTACCTTGAAACTACCAGGTTGCATTATTTCAGGATTTGGTCTAAGGATAGCAGATAAAAGATCAGTTGGGCACCATGCTGTGATGCTTAGTTTTACCTACATTGTCGGAGAATGATGACTGAGAGATGTGTACTGAGCAAAATGCCTGTCTAGATCATAGTTCTTTACTAAGTATACAGACATTTCACAGATTCCAAATCCCTGTGTGGGTTCCGGGGCCCTGCTATAGGAAAAACTAGGAATAGACCCACTGCCTACTCAAAAGTATGTTGTAAGAGCCGACTGACTGTGAGCTTCCGTCGAAGTGCGTTTGCCTAAGAGGCAAGGAACGTCTGGCTACAAAATAGATATTTTGAACGGATGCACACGCAACACACAAGTTCTGTAACAGGACTGCAGTCCAGAAGTGGATGAACAACCAGAACTTTCCACCAGTTTACAGCTGGTAAATGTGAAGAAGAAACAGATTAAAAACAGCTCTATGTAAAGTTAAAAGATTACGTTTGTAAGATCCCATAACCCAGAACAATGTTCCAAGTACCAAGTGAAATTGTTTTTCCACATGACATAAATGATATGTTTGTGCACAGATAATTAATTATAATATTAAATGTATTAAATATATTTCTATGCTATACATTTTATTTTGTTTATAGAATACATTATCCTATGATGTTTAATTATTACCTACATTGTCAGATTGTCATGACTGATACACTTGATCTGAGGATTTTAGAATTTCGACTTTGATGGTCTCAGACACAATAATTTTTTTTTTTTAAATCAAATTTTTCTAATTGCTTTATGTGCACTGAAGATGAACCACATTATATCTATTAGCATTGATGTATTTTGTTTTGTTAAAGTAAAAACTGACTTCTAAAGCTTAAAAAATACTAGCACATTTAAGTTCTAGCTGTAAATTCTTTGTAAACTTTTGCTATGTGGTATGCCAGGTTTTCATACAGATGATTGCAATAAGTGCCAATGATGAAGACATTCCCAGCGTTTTGAAGTCTTTATGAAAACAGTCACATGCACTACCATCTGAGGCCAGCAGTCTACTGATTTGATTCTTTTTGAAGTTGTATCTTCTGATGTATTGACTAAACTGTCTCATCCTGTGTGTTTTAGTTCTGCAGTCTGGATCGTTTGTCACATGAAGTGGGCTGGAAGTACCAGAGGGTGGTGGCCACACTTGAGGCCAAGAGAAAGGTCAAATCCAAGCAGTTCTATGAGCGCAAGAAGCATCTGCTGGTAAGTGTTCTCTATGGTAGACATGTGTTGCTGTAATGTTGCCAGTACCCCCTTGTGTACTTTACATGCACTACCAGGTTGCTACAGGACTGCATTAACTTAACCTATGTAGAGCTCTTCAAAGACTAAAACAACTTAATAAATTATGGAATTGTACAGATAGAGTTACAAAGGTCAGATTTTTAAGAGCATGCATCTTTCCCATTGCAACATACGCCTGTGAGACCTGGACACTTACTAAACAAGCAGAACAGCGCATAAATGCATTTGAATATAAATGTTACAGACAGGTTCTAAGAATATCTAGGGTAAAGAAAAGAACAAATGCATCCATACTTAGCTGAATATTGAAGGGTTGGCTAGTAAAGACAATAAAACAAAGAAAATTGAAATATTTTGGTCACTTGAAACGTCATGGAAGTCTAGAGAGAACAATAATGGAGGGGTATATGCCTGGGAAGAGAGGAAGAGGAAGGCCAAGGAGAAGATGGGTGCAGGATGTGGCAGATGATCTCCAGATGGGTGTATCAGACGCAGGACATCTTGCTCAGGATAGGAAGGTTTTCCGGAGGGTTGTTATGGCAGCGAGGTTCCGCGAGGGACATGCTAATGAATGAATGAATGAATGTAGAGCAGGCAAAAATTTGTTGAAATATTGTATGTTAACGCATAAGACAAAGCTTTTTCTGCCCTGTTATCTTTAGGATGCATTTAGCTGATGCCAGTAACAATCTGTGAATGATGATAACCCACAGCGCATTGAACTGTCATGAAACCAACCACATGCACTACCATCTGATACAGATTTGCTACTGTTTTAGCTCAGTGTATGAATATAGCTTGTTTTAGTTGACCTGTCATCTGGCGAGAAAACATAGATCTTGCAAAAATGTACTATATGATGTCACATTAAACTGTTGATACACAGCGACCCCTGTGTAACTAAATTATCCTATGTAGTATATGATGTCACATTGAGCTGTTAATAAAACCAACCACATGCACTACTATCAAATACATATTGCTTCTGCCAAGTAGTCTTATTTTGTGCCGTTAGTTTCTTTCTCATTCCTAATTGTTTAAAATACTATAAAAATGTAGCGAGTGGCATCATTTGCCAACGAAGGAGCTCTTGTTAAGCTAAATTATCTTGTCGGTGAATTGTAGTGTGAGATAATAGCAGTCCTTAAGTGATGATAACCCACAGCGCATTGAAATGCCATGAAACAACAACATGCACTACCATCTGATACAGATTGCTACATACCAGTAAATATATTTTCTAAATATGTATGTGAGGCATGCTGGCTGGCTTTACATGTGAGATTTAGAAGGTGAGATTTAAAACAAGTTAAATTGTGTGTTGATGAGCTTCTTTATGACAGTAAAGAGATTTCGTATATCCGCCAATTTTTTGGAGTGAGAGACGTGGACATGTTTTTTTTTTTTAAGTACAGTTATAGCCATGTGTGGATGATTTAATTGTTTGGACTTAAAAAGGGGGAGGATAGAAGGGTAAATTAGGCGCACTTGTTCTCAGTAGCAATTTGTGAATGATGATAACCCACAGCGCATTGAACTGTTGATGAAACTAATGCATTACCACCTGATACAGGTTGCTACTACCAAGTTATTTTTATTGCTAAGATGTTATATATCCAATGAGTCTAGAGATCTTTGTGTTGTAACTTGTCTTTTATTTGTTGTTTTATGGCTGGTCTAATCATTTCGCTCCTTAATATGAAAGAAGTGACCATTGAATAACTGAAGTATCTTATGTAGTAAATGATGGTAGCAGTCTGTGAGTGATAAACCACAGCGCATTGAACTGTTGATGAAACCAACCACATGAACTGCCATTTGATACAGATTGCTTCTTCCGAAGTGTCTTTTGTGCTGTTAGTTGCTTTCTCAGATCCAATTGTTTAAAATACCATAAAAAATGTGAAGGGTGACATTATCTTCAGAGCACTACATGGTTGACACCCAAGAGTTTTATTTGCCAACAAAGGAGTGGCCCTCGTTTTGCTAAATTATCTTGACGGTAAATTGTATGTGATGGTAGCAGTCTGTGAGTGATGATAACCCACAGCGCATTGAAATGTCATGAAACCAACAACATGCACTACCATCTGATACAGATTGCTACATATCAGTAGATATATTTATGGAATATGTATGAGAGGCATGCTGTCTGGCTGGCTATATATGTGAGATTTAGAACAAGTTAAATTGTGATCTTTCAGCTTCAGTGTTTGATAAGCTTCTTTATGACAGGAGAGATTTTGTATATCCACCATTTGCGTGTGTGAGTGTGAGATATGGACGTGCATGTTTTTTTTAAAGTGTACAGTTATAGCCATGTGTGGATGATTTAATTCTTTGGACATAAGAGCGAGAATAGAAGGCTAAATTAAGTGCACTTTTTTCAGTAACAATTTGTGAGTGATGATAACCCACAGCGCATTGAACTGTAATGAAACCAACAACATGCACTACCATCTGATACAGATTGCTACTGCCGAATAATTAATTTATATTTCTCTTATCTGAGATATTGCATAATAACTGAGTATTTTAGTGATAAATCTTAGCATTGTAATGGTTGTCAGTTGTATATTATATGTGATGGTAACAGTCTGTATGATGATAACCCACAGCGCATTGAACTGTTGATGAAACTAATGCATTACCACCTGATACAGGTTGCTACTACCAAGTTATTTTTATTGCTAAGATGTTATATATCCAATGAGTCTAGAGATCTTTGTGTTGTAACTTGTCTTTTATTTGTTGTTTTATGGCTGGTCTAATCATTTCGCTCCTTAATATGAAAGAAGTGACCATTGAATAACTGAAGTATCTTATGTAGTAAATGATGGTAGCAGTCTGTGAGTGATAAACCACAGCGCATTGAACTGTTGATGAAACCAACCACATGAACTACCATTTGATACAGATTGCTTCTTCCGAAGTGTCTTTTGTGCTGTTAGTTGCTTTCTCAGACCCAATTGTTTAAAATACCATAGAAAATGTGAAGGGTGACATCTTCAGAGCACTACATGGTTGACACCCAAGAGTTTAATTTGCCAACAAAGGAGTGGCCCTCGTTTTGCTAAATTATCTTGACGGTAAATTGTAGTATGTGATGGTAGCAGTCTGTGAGTGATGATAACCCACAGCGCATTGAAATGTCATGAAACCAACAACATGCACTACCATCTGATAAGGATTGCTACATATTAGTAGATATATTTGTTGAATATGTATGAGAGGCATGCTGGCTGGCTGGCTATATATGTGAGATTTAGAACAAGTTAAATTGTGATCTTTCAGCTTCAGTGTTTGATAAGCTTCTTTATGACAGGAGAGATTTTGTATATCCACCATTTGTGTGTGTGGGTGAGAGATATGGACATGCATGCTTTTTTTAAAGTGTACAGTTATAGCCATGTGTGGATGATTTAATTCTTTGGACATAAGAGCGAGAATAGAAGGCTAAATTAAGTGCACTTGTTCTCAGTAACAATTTGTGAGTGATGATAACCCACAGCGCATTGAACTGTAATGAAACCAACAACATGCACTACCATCTGATACAGATTGCTACTGTCGAATAATTAATTTATATTTCTCTTAATAACTGAGTATTTTAGTGATAAATCTTAGCATTGTAATGGTTGTCAGTTGTATATTATATGTGATGGTAACAGTCTGTATGATGATTACCCACAGCGCATTGAACTGTTGATGAAACTAATGCATTACCACCTGATACAGGTTGCTACTACCAAGTTATTTTATTGCTAAGATGTTGTATATTCAATGAGCCTGGATATCTTGATGTTGTAACTTGTCTTTACTTGGTTATCTTATGGTTGGTCTTAATCTTTTGCCCTTCAGTGTGAAAGAAGTGACCCCTGTAAAACTGAATTATCTTATGTAGTATATGATGGTAGCAGTCTGTGAGTGATGATAACCCACAGCGCATTGAAATGTCATGAAACCAACAACATGCACTACCATCTGATACAGATTGCTACATATCAGTAGATAGAACAAGTTAAATTGTGATCTTTCAGTGTGTATGATAAGCTTCTTTATAACAGGAGAGATTTCGTATATACACCATTTGTGCAGTGAGATATGTGGGCATGCCTGTTTTTTTTTATAAGGGCAAGGATAGAAGGCTAAATTAAGTGTAGCAATTTGTGAATGATGATAACCCACAGCGCATTGAACTGTAATGAAACCAACAACATGCACTACCGTCTGATACAGATTGCTACTGTCGAATAATTAATTTATATTTCTCTTATCTGAGATATTGCATAATAACAGAGTATTTTAGTGATAAATCTTAGCACTTTAATGGTTGTCAGGGTGTTGTGTATTTCAGTGATGAGTCTTGACATTTAATGGATGTAAACTGTATAAGGTATGTGATGGTAACAATTTTGAGTGATGATAACCCACAGCGCATTGAAATGTCATGAAACCAACCACAGATTGCTACTATCAAATAGATATCAGCTGTTTCTCTAGCTGTGATATTGCATATTAATTATGTATTTCAGTGATGAAATGCCCAAATTATTATGTTGTTATACTGTTGAAACAAAAATGCTCAAAGTGTCGTTGTTACAGTCAAGATTATTTACTATCTGATGTAGATGGCCAAATGTCACTATTAGGGATTTCATTGATTTGTTACTGATTAAGTAGGGCTGCTTATAGACTGATTCTTTGTTAAAAAAACATTTGTGTACTTGCAGAAACTGCGTGAACAAGCCAAGAAGAATGTGGCCAAGAAGATTGAACCTTACCAGCAGACACTTCAGCAGCTGGGATATTAGTTTTGTTTCTGGATGTAAACTTGCTCTAGACAATAAATTCAATCAAAGATATTTTTCCTTGCTTGTTTTGTGGATGTTTGGCAAATTTATTTGCGTAATTTAGGCCCCCCCCCCCCCCCCCAAATGTATTCTACGCAGAGTGTTTTATTAAATTAAGTCCACAATTATTGCTCACTTTCCTTAATCATGCTGTCTGAAAAATTGTTACAACTAGTTTATTTTCTAACATCGGCACTATTCATAGACCATGCAACACAGGCATAATAATAATATCAGTAATCATCTGTTTGGGCATCATTTATGCTTAGCAACCATGCTATTTGACATGTCCGAGACTATTTGGACTTCTACTTGGCATTCACTTCAGCGGAATGTTCTGGGAACATTATCTTGAACTGTCACTAGGATTTCATCTGGTCATCCTCTGACATACTTCGGCATTGGAATTGTCGGCTTGTATGGCTGCAGCAGGTGCAACAGCACAGCCTGAAGGTGAAGGTAAAATATCTACCAGTGAGGTGGTACTTGCAGCACATGCATACATTAAATTACTTTTGTTGCAATCATTTGTGAGGTTAAAAAGTTTGCTGCTTCAAATAAACCTTTGGGGGAACTAACATTAGTAGGTGTATGGAATCTACTCTCACCTATCTGGAAAGAACTGTAATGGGTGTCTAATAACTTTAAAAATAGGTTGGAATTGAGGTCTATATGTTTTAGACAGATTTAATCATCTCCGGATGGTATGGTCAACCCTTAGGTAGCATGCCGGAGTCTTTCTGCTCCACAATCACAGGCAGCACATTCTTTTATGCCTATACGCATAAAGTGGAAATGGGTCCTTTACTTTTTATTCTAACCCACTGCTCATTTTATAATAAATTCATGACCTGTTGCCAAACTTTACCATCTGCTATTATTGAGGAGTCTAAGGACACTGCTCTTTTTTTTTTTTTTGTTTACCAAATATTTTGGCAGCTGACACATTTCTGGGTGTTTTCACACCTCTGAAATTAAGTCATTTCAGAACCTTAGTGTTGTGTGTGCATCTGTCTCATAGGTCTAGCTTACTTGTGTGGCTGCCCGCCTGTGAGGCAGCTGATGCACTCTCAAAAAATGTCCACAATTAGTCAGTTTCTACGACATGCTTGTTGGCGAGGCAGCGGGATTGTTGGTTTCCTCACAATGGAGTCCTGGAACCCCTCCCCCACACACACGGTTTAACTGTCACATCTGTGACATTTCTTCACAGGGTCAAATCAAGCCCCTTTCCCTTAAAAAAAAACACTTGGCATGCTCCATACCAAGTGGTCTGATGCCAACTAAAAGGGTGACAAGTAGGACTTTTACGACATCTTGTCAGTGGGTCCATTGTTTTTCCCACAATAGAACAGGAGGAGATCACAACTTATGTCTAGCATAATTTGTCTCGGTCACCCTCTGCTTCATTTCCAAAGACCACCTCCTCATGCAGGCAATCAGTTTCTCTCAAAAAATTTCTTTTTATCTTCCATGGATGTTCTCACCATTTTTTAAACCAAATCTTCATCGCCTTCACATGTTATTATACATAATTGCTATGTATTCAACTGACAATCATTCACTTTTGTGTTAACCATTATTTCTGTTTTTCAACTGATATGAACATATACCAGTCAAATTTGATGGCAAAGTGCAGTGATATCAAGTTCACAGCTCTAGTTTACTTGGGTGGCTGCTTGCCTGTGAGGCAGATGGCGCACTCTAAAAAATGTCCACACTTAGTCAGCTCCTACGACATGCTTGTTGGCGAGGCAGTGGGACTGTTGGACCCACACATGGTTTAACTGGTATATCATCAGTGACATTTCTTGAACACAAGACCACAGGGTCATACAAATACACCCCCCTCCCACCAAAAAAAAAAAACCACTCTGCACACTCCATACCAGTTTCTTAAAACATACTTATGACGTGTATGTAGTTATATAAATTGCTTCTGCATCACACTTAAAGGGCAGTTAGCATGTTTCAAATCTTCTCAGCTCACTTCTTGTAAGCTAGAGCAGAGTTCCCCATTTCATGGTTAATGAAACAAATTGAAAGGTTCCCTGATATTCACATAAACTAAACCCACCAACCGTTATGAGAATATTCTAATTACAAATTTCCCAATAGGACTTGCAAAGTATGGTTCAAGGCAAATCTTTAATGACAGGGGTCTTTAGGTGACTGTTTGCCATTGCTGTCACCACAAGACCATTTGGGGGTCTTTTAGGTGAAGTGGTAAAACTGTTTGCTTCTCAATGTGAAGGGGGTTGGTATAATTTCACAGAGGTGTAGTCCGGTTCATGGATGCAGTTTTTACAGAGATAGCTATGTGATTGTGCGACGCTGATCTTGATTGCAACTAGACCTATTGTCCTGTATATCATTTTGTCTGACATCGCATGAAAAGCTTACCATGAGAGTCCACATTCGGTTTTCTGCTTCCTGCCACACCAGAGATTCTTCCCCATAGAAGATGTCATCCGTTACTTCCTCCTTCTTGCGAGGCAGACAGTGCAGAAACACCCAACTTCCTCCAGCCTCTTTCAGCATCTGAGAGATAAGCACGTACTGCATCAAGCAAAACACTACATTTGTCTACCTGGTGTCCTTGACCGAATTCTGTGTGTAGAAACTGCGCTCAGCAAGACTGTCTAGAAACAGTATGTTTACAAGATTCTCTACTGGTTTAATACATGTAGGTTCCCTATGAAAGTGGGGGGGGGGGGGGGGGGGGGGGGGGGGGGGGGGGGGGGGGGGGGGGGGGAGGGGGGGGGGCAGGGGGGGGGGGGGGGGGGGGTGGGGGGGGGTGGGGGGGGGGGGGTACCTACTAAAAGCATGTCATGACAAATAGTTAAATTGAGATAAAAGAATACACAAGGCATCATGGGAATCACCAGACCATAAGACAACCAATCAAACTGATCACAAATGTACAAACAAAAGATTCAGATCATCAAGTTTAATTCCCCAATATCTTCATGAGCTGCAATGTCACTTATGTCATCAACTGGAAGAGATGTAGCATGAAATACCCTGGTGAAATGGGTCTATCACTGGCTGACAGGTTTAGGCAACATCTTTTAGATGTGCAGAACGGTGCCCTGAAACCAGTCCTGTTGCACTATAGTTCCCAGGACCACCAAGGTGTCCACGACATGGAGGTGACAGCCATTAAATCTAGCCACCCTTGTGACAGAGCCTGCAGGACTCTCTATTTTTTTTTTCAGCACAGTTTCTAGAATTCTTGAATTACGGCCTCTGGCATTCCACACCTATTTATTTTTCGGGCCCCACGTTTTCTTCTCATTCCACTGGCCAGACATCAACGTGGCTACTTCTGGATACTCAGTGATTTTGTGTGGTTTTGTTTGATTTATGTATGTGCTGATGAAGGCTTTTTAGCTTCAATGTTGTTTAAGCTAGAACTCAGGAAAAATGCAAAGAAACTACTAAGGAAGTTAGGATGTGAATAAGGGGCAGATAAAATAATTAGAATTGCCGTTAAGAGGTTTCAACTTTGCTGTAAACAAACAAGCTGCCCCATATTTGCGTGCCAGTGAAAATTGCGATACATCCCTGACAGTCCCATTTGAATACTAGTGAACAAATTAACAATCCCAGCAAAATCCAGAAACATGCACACGCATAAGGCTGCAAAGTTATTTGTGTGTCCTTAAAGCAGGGCTAATCATCTGGCCGCAGATGCTTAGTAAGTGGCCCACAGATCATTTCCAGTTGTATTGAATTTGTGATCTTTGTACGCTGGGCTTAGGACCCTGGCGATCCCTATTTTTAACATTCTGGCATTGAGCAAACTTTGTTGAATAGCTCTACTTTACAGAACCAACACCAATATTACATTTGGTAGTTTGCTATTGTTTCTTAATAGTCGTCACTCTATACCAATGTCGAAATCAACGCCGAGCAGTCGTATGCCAAAACCTGCAACTATAACGGATATTTTGGAATTACAAAAACGTTTGCAACGCCTAAGCCACAGATGCCAACCATTTACATTTACCTTTCTGTTAATCTGGAAGCCAGCAAAATCCTTGAGACGTTTCTGCTTCTCCTGTTCTTGTCCCAAGCTGACCCAAGTGTCAGTCACTATGACATCAGCTCTGTAAGCTGCCTGCCTGGGGTCATTGCCAATGCGAAAGGAGGCTCCCGTCTGCAGCAGATAGAAGTGATCATGTTAACAGTCTCATCGTATCTCCCTTGTATCTGTCTACAGACTTACAAAGTAAAAAGAAAAATTGCAGTGGATAAACAAATTGTTCTTCACAACAGAAATTTGCCAGAAAGTTTGTGGTCAAACATCAAAAGCAAGTGAACAATGCAAATGCACCAACAGATGTTAAAATCTGGAGAGAATTGTGCAGCAAGAAGTGACCACAGGATCTGGCCGACATTCAACACAGAGGAAAAGCAAAAAGGACAGACCTTGTAGGATATATAATCTGACCTGGCACGGTACCATCCGAATCGGAACTCCCGGCTGGCTGCTGTAGATGGGGATGCCCCAAGTGTTGTTATGTTCGTCCTCGGCTCTGAGAAACCATAACACAGAATGTCTCTGGGTCACCAACTGCTGTTGACTTATCAGTTCACTCTATTTCTGTCGGTCAGACGCAATAGACTTGATATTTGCATGAGACTGCAACCTGCAAAACTATCCCCCCTCATATAAAGACAGCGCTAGAAGAATGGATTTCAGCACACAAAACAAGAAATTGATAAGACATCGACAGCATGTGAAAATGACACATTTAGCACTAGAATATCACTTTTTGTTCAGTTTTATTTCTTTTCATGGAATATAAACTGCAGCTCCCCACAACCCCCTGAACCTGCACAGGTAACAACAGTTCTACTGGTGGGCAGTGGAAAGACAGGACCAGACTGCATTCGCCAGAAGTACTAACATTACATAGTGAATGTTGATGGTTGTGTGAAGACAACAAACTTACCTTGCCTGCAAGTTTCAATGCATCATTAGTTACAGTGGCATCTGGTTCATAGCCCTGGACACATAAATACATATGTATTACATTCATTTAACTTACAGAGCTAAAGGAGTAAGCCCCCCCCCCCCCCCCCCCCCCCCCCCAATTAGTCGACTCCTACCTATGGGGCAAACTACTGGATGTAAATTTGCTAGAGAAACCACACAACAGCCTGGGGCTGCTAGGGTTGGTTCTGCAATGGCCTGTAAAAAGGATACGCAACTAACCTAACCTATGGAGGAGGCAGTGGGTCTGTTCTGTTTTTTTCCACAATGGGGATCTGGAACCCACACAGGAAGGTTGAGTTTTTGAGGGCCCATGCTCTATTAAAGGATAAAGGGCAGAAGAAGAAGAAGACACTCCTGTAAACAACAGTGTTTATCAATAATCCAGGTGTAAGATATCACCAAACCTTTTCCATTTATATGGAGATGGTGTACAAAGTACTTAGTCTAGCATCACCATCTGTTACTCGTCTCAGAGAAGTGGCTAAACTAGTGCTGCTGTACTGGCCAGAGCTGAAGGGAAAGTAGTTTAATTCTCCAACCATTTTTATTGATTATTCTCCTTCAAATTTTTAATTTAAAAATTTTTATGAGTTTTCAAGGGTTTTCTCAGGAATTCCCTAGCTCAATTGTTTTTCCCTTCAGGGGTTAATGGGGCAAAAGAGTTGATATGCTCTTACCATTTTTGTACTCCAGACCTCTCGCCTACACCTCTTCTCTTTGTATTTTCTGAGTAGATGAGAAAAAAAGATATTTACCAGAAAATACTACATTGTTTCAGATGATACAAAATCTGTATTCTCCGATGGAAGGCCACATTTGTCAGCTGATTAGGCTCAAATGTACACTATATACACGTCCTATCGCATAACTGTAATGTTCTAAATGTCTGGACCAAACAGGGAAACCCAGGCCTGATGCATGCTTTCCACACTGTCATACTAAAATGTCCAGAAGAAACAACGTTAAAGGTGTCCAATGTGCTGAAGAAGAATGTACCAATTTGTGTGATCATCAATTCCGACACCTGTAGACTGCTCACAACTGATCTTCGGGGGGCGAACCCCATATCAAGTGGGAAGCTTAACATATGGATGTGAGGTTAAGTAATCATGTGCAGGATGCGATGATTGCTTGAATGAGCCCAGGAAAAGAACACCATGTGTCGACTCTACATTTACAGAAGCCTCCTTGAATAACAGTGAATGTCTATGATGAATGTGCCATTTACATTTAAACTTAATGTTTCATAGAGATATAAGTTAGCACTGGAACCAACCGCTGGTGTAGCAACATTCAGATCTATTCCGATCTTGGCACAGCCGTACAGTAGAGAATGAAGAACATTATTTCCATCTCCAATCCAGGCAATCTTCAGTCCACGGAGGTAACCAAAGTGTTCCTGGACAGACAATTATACATTACTATTTAGTTTTTGAATAGATAGTTACATACTAATATTTGTTATTCATTATTAACAACTTCCACTTTTGCTGTTAAGTGACACAGGTAGAAAAAGTTTACCTTCCAGCACTCAGTGGAAATTCTTGTTCTTCCTTTTCCTGTTTTGATTCAGAAGTGGAGGGATATATAAGTTTCTGGTTCTTGCTGTCCTATCCGTCCCAACCACTGAGAAAAAGGGTATTACAGATTTTTTTAATGCGACGAATGATTTGAGTTTAGTGGGAAGCATAGGTTTAAATTACAAGGCGAGATGTTTCACACTTGTTTATTATTTGTTCAATACACCCTTGATGTTGTCAATATTATTTGCTGTGAAATATAAACAGATTGTGGCTGTGCGCTTTTTTTAATGCAGTACAACCTTATTAATGGGAATTCCTAGGGGCCGAAAAAAAAAATCAAGAGTTCATGTAAAATAAAATTTGTGCTTAGCGACCAATAGATGTATTACAAATAACATACCCCTGCTAAGACTAAAAGTCTGTTCACGTTAACCAAGCGTTCATCTTAAGTGAGTTTGTGTTAATAAAGTTTTACTGTATTTTATCAGATTCATTTGTATAAGTTATCCAAACTTCTTTATTTTTATTATTTATTTGAAATTCATGTAGGGTATTTGCACCTGTCGTATTTCTAAAATATGACCGTGTTAAAATAAACATGGTTGTCAGATGTATACTAGGGTAGAAAAAGATAACAGTAAATGAGCAAGAATGACATTTTAAAACGGACATCCTGTAGCTTGCAAGCAAGAACATTGAAACTACAAAAAAGAAGTGAAGTTTCACTGGCCAAAACACTGATACATTCAGAAACTTGAAGACTATCACCTGTAATGTCATGAAGTCTGCCAGAATCTGTAACGGATGAAGAAAGTCAGACAATCCACTGATAACAGGAATTCTTGCCTCGTTTGCCAGTTCATCTAAAACTTCCTGGCCATGTACTCTGGCTACAATAACATCAGCCATGGAAGTTAAAACTCTGCAATATACAGCATTACAAATCAATTATTAACCTACAAACACAGTCATTATCTATGTCTTTCAAATAGCTACAAGAGAATGCTTTATTATCCCTTTCTTTGCAAACCTTCTTGTTGTAGCTGCATAAAAACAGAAATAACTTTATTAAAATCCACCATCCAGCAATTTAGAAGAGGCTAAACATACTTTCTATATCAAATATACAGAGAAGTTGCTATATCTTTTTGTCAGAAATTTTTGAGTATGCTCTGATTAAATTTAAAATCTTCTTCTTCTCAGCGTTCATTGGCTCCAGTGAAAAGTTCTGGCTGTTTATCCACTTCTGGAATAGACTTAACCAGTCCTTATCTCTCAGGCAGATGCGCTCCATTTTCTGAAGAAAAATCCCTAATTAGTTTTCTTTTACAACATGTCTGTTAGGGAAGCAGTGAGTCTGAATTTTTCCCTCCAAAATGAGAAACCCGGAATTCACATGGGAAAACTGAAATAGTTCTGTATTTTATTATGAAAATAATAGTTGGGACCAGAAGAGTGAATCTCTAATCTTTCAGTTTATTTTTTTTGAAAAAGCAAACAGAAAGTGTTTACACAATAACGATAACATACTTCATTCAACGGCTGTAAACTGCTGCGGAAAGTTCTTGTTGTACGTCCACTTCTGGACTTTGGTTTTGTTCCAGAACATGAGTTTTGCATGCACATCTGTTTTACAGATCTGTCTTATATGCAGGCAAACTGTTTTTTCCTTGTCTATTAGGATGCACTTTGACTATTAAAAGAGACATCCCTAGTTAGTCGACATGCTTGTTAGCAGAGCAGTAAATATAAAAAAATTTTTAACCCTAAATAGGACCAGGGTCCCAAAAATAGAAATGATACACTGACTAAAGCAGCAACAGGGCCAAAAAGCATAATTTGAGACATCAGGTTCTTATATCTATGTATGTTTTGGTATGTGAGTATTTGAAGACAATACTTGTTCTCACCTGGCTGAATCTTTGACACTTTCATTAACACCAAGGTGAATGTCGTCTGGTCCTAAAAAACAGGCACTGCCACCAAGTTTTGTCATTCCTGAAAATAGGAGGCGGTGGATGCTACAAATTTACACAACATAGAAGCAGTGATCTTGAAAAAGAAATGGCTGACAAGGTGGTTAGAGCAAGGATCTCTTCTTCTTCTTCTTCTTTGTTCATCGGCTGTGAATTCCGGCCGAAGGTCCGGGTTAATCGTCCGCTTGGACTTTTGGCTTTTACCTGGACCTGAGTTTTGCGTGTACAACCGTTTTGCTGTTCCCTGCCTCGCGGGCAGATGTACTTCGAGGGAAGACGTCAGGCCTATTTCTAGGATGACTGTGGCCATTGTTTTGTGTGGGTCGAGATCTGACCTTATTTGTGTGGTGTCCTCTTTGTCACCTTCTCCGCAGGTGTTGCCCCCAGGGTAACCCCTTTGGGGCAGCCCCTTGTGGAACGGTTAACTCTCGTCACGTCCTGCACATGCCTGCTTAACCCCACAACCGTATAAGGCCTCCCGCTCGACAAGGGCTGCGCCCTCCAGAGATCAGCGGGGAGCAGCCCGCGGGTTCTGGACTTTTGTGACCACACGAATAGGTACATTCTTTTTCTTTGCACGTTAGATATCTTTGACGAGCCGTTAGCACGACAGAATTTAACATCCTGCGTCAGGCATGATGTTATCTGTTTGGTCCCAACACTTGGGCGAGTGGGGTCTTTGGGTGTGTACATTTGGACTTTTTCCCATTCAGTACGATTTGTGATGGTTGGATTTTGAGCTTACTCCTGTGCCGAAGGGGCTGTTGCTATTGTGGTGTACCCCAGCCAATGGGCTGTCGCTATTGTGGTGTACCTCAGCGCGCTGACAACGACACTGAGGGTTAACAGAGGATGTACATGGGTAGAGTCTTGCTGCGAGACGCCACCACCAGGAGATGTTACTCGTCTGGATCTAGTTTTGTCGGACATTTAGGCTTAGCCAGCCAATGGACTGTTGCTGTTGTGGTGTACCTCAGCGCGGTGATGACGACACTGAGGGTTAACAGAGGATGTACATGGGTAGAATCTTGCTGCGAGACGCCACCCCCAGGAGATGTTACTCGTCTGTGCTGCAGGTAAATCTCTAGGTCAAGGGTTGAGTCTTAGCAAAACAATGTTCTTTTCACTCCGCAATCTTTTAACCAAGGGTTGTAATTTTAGTTGTACGTTTGGTATGCACTTTACTCATGTTTCTAATGAGTTTTGATAACCTTTTTCACCCGTGCATTTGGGGGCGGGCTGATGAGAGCCACAAGGACACATCACCTCTGGGGACCGCCAAACTCCGAGATCCCCTGACAGCTCTGTTAATGCTCATTTGAGATATTATTCCTGGCGCACGACAAGGACGTGCTGCAGGGGTCTTGCGTGAGGTTCCCTAAAACTAGAACAGTGAAGGACTGGCGCCTGAGTGACGTACGGAGTATCTCCTTATACACATCATGTTGGACTTAACTTTCCCTCATGCCTGTGACCTAAATCACTGCACCACGCAAGGGCCTCTTATGCGGAAGACCTGGGTTTGATCCTCGAAAAAGGGGTGGAGATTGTTCTGTAGAGAAAACACAAACAAAAATCCAAACGTGCATATTCGGGGGTGACTGCACTGGCCATGCGGCCTGAACTCCTAAGGCCCAGAACTCCTCTGTCCCGCATCACCCTAAAAGTGGTAAATAACTGTCATTACTGCCTCTATGGGTAGTCGCCGTGGCATAGTGGCTAGACTCTCGCCCGCGGATTGGAAGGTCTCTGGGTTCACTTCCTGACATTTCAAGACTTTGACTACCAGGTCTTGAATGGGTACGGGTGCAGTCCCAGGAAGTAAAAGTGGCCGCGACCACATCACCCATCTTGTGCCGATTAGTCTATAAAAATATAGGTCTAGCCCTATAAGCCTAAAGGTGTGGAAAAGGGGTCTTTACTTTTACTTTCCATTTCTTACTGCCTCTATGTACCGCTTTACTGGGGTGGGATGGTCGAGGTTTGAAGCCTGAAGATATAGAATCTGCAGGTTAGAATTTCCATTTTGATCTCTGACAGAAAAAAATTGATCGTCTTACCGAGGATTCGAACCAGGGTCTCCAAAATAATTGGCAAATACAGCCAATACATTTTTTTAGAAACTGATGGCACAAAGAAAAATATTTTATGTTCTATGTGTGTTGATGAAGTAATTTATATTAAACTAGTGGTTCAATACATTCTTCTTTTTCTTAATCTTCATTGTTTGCTCAGGTGATCTTCTTCTTCATGTACTGACAGAAGGGTATGGTTATTCCTCCACTTTTGGACTTTAGTCTTGTTCCAGTACTTGAATTTTGTGTACACATCCATTTTAGAGATATGTAAAATGTATGCAGACTGTCAGTTCCTCATCTCTCAGGTAGATGCTCTCTGACTTCTGAGGAAATATCTGTAACTAGTTGCCTTTTATGACCTTAGTGATATGGAGGCAGTGGGGCCCACATATGAAGTTTGCCTAGGTAATCACAAGCGTTGTTCCTGTTTAAAGCATAGCTGTGATATTTTGCACCTTCTAGCCAACACTGGTCATTTGGTTTAGCCTTCTGAGATAGAGAGAATGGTTCAGGATCGAATTAAGTGGCGACAGTTTGTATCTGTCTCTGGGCGTGATGAGGATTGATTGATTGGGTGCTCAGTGCATTCAGTTATGACAAGCAATTTTCTGGAATGCACTTCTTAGCCTCTGACTGTCCCCTTTGCCTTTAGGGTTCTGGTGCCTCATTTCGGAGGAAAATAAAGAAACCCACTGCTCTCTAACAAGATGGTTAATTAAGGATCTGATTAAATCGGACATGTTAGGCTGAAAGGTGCAGATAGAACAGTTTATCTGTAAACCAAAAAACAATGTACCCATCACCTTTTTAAGGGTGAACAAAAATAAAAAGAAAACCAACATGATTGATCTAGAAGAAGCAATCTATTGTTTTATCAAACTTGGAGGTGATCAACATGATTCAGACACATCAGGAAAGATCAACGTAATTCAGTAAGATCTCTTGAGATTTTGTATAGCAGTAATAAATTATTTTTTCATTTACATTATAAAAACTGTTTTGGAAAAAGCTTGCATGTAAACAAATAAATTGCAACAATTCCACACATACCCATTTCTGCCGATAGTCTTGTACGTGTACTTCGCTTCTGAAAGACCAAAGCAGCTGATTTACCAACCAGAGGCTGAAAAATCTGCAACGGAAATGTCATTGCTACTTTTGATGAAAGAACATTCAAATTCCTACTGGTTCACTGGAAGGATAAGAAGCAACACTAAAGAGATACAGCCATAGTCACTAAGGTAACCATGTGTCAATTCCTCCTCACCAAAAATGGCTGACGCATTTCATTTCTGGGAACAGCTTTTTCATATAAATTTATAGACAGTCACAGTCACCTGCTGATGAAAAATACAAAAAAGTTAGTTACGTACCCTTTACAGGATAATGCAAAACAACCACAGCATTTATTTGGCTGTTGTGATTTTTATAAGCAAATTTTATGTTCAGTAGTTTGCCGTTGCTGTCTGAAAGATGGGCTCTCGACACCACTGTCAAAACCAACGCAAGGTGAAAAATCCCCTGCAGCTGGGACCGAACCCAGCATTACGAAGAGAAATATGAAACAAGTGAAAAAACTGAACTGGTTCAACCAACTAATGAGAAGGATCAAACAATGCTGGCAGCAGACAGCCTAAAAATGTAAATACAAAGAAGCAGATTGAAACCTAGAAGAAAATTAATTGAAGGAGTCTCTGACAGTTTAGGACTTCACAGTATCACAGCAGACCAAACAGCTAAGCATGTCTTGGCTTGGCTACCTATCATTTTGTAAACTGCCTAAGGTAGACATTGACATAAGACAGAAAAAGACAACATGTGATGGTTATTTGGAAATTTAAAAAAAATAAAAAACTCTGCAAATGAACACACAAATCGGCTATCCTCCAAATAACGGTCCTAAATTATTGAGGGGACAATATACCATAACAGAGCCTCAGTCACGTGTCAATTACTTCCGGGGACTATAACGCCACCGCCAAATTGCGAACTTCCTCCGACTTCCGCCACCGCTGAGAGTATCCCCCACGCCACTCACGCGCTGTGGATTGGGGCTAAACTAGATGGCTAGGACTCACGAGCAAATAAAATGAAGGAAGCTGCAAGAGATGCGGTAGCTGCCGCTCGTGAGTCCCAGCCATCTAGTTTAGCTTCAATCCATGGCGTGGGGAATACTCTCGACGGTAGCGGAAGTCGGCAGAAGTGCCCAATTTAAGACGACGGAAGTGCGCAATTGACACATGACTAAGGCTCTGTTAGGGTATATTTTCCGCCTCGATAATTTAGGACCATTTTTCGGAGGATAGCCCGCAAATCTTAATATAAGAGAAGGATGTGATTGTCAAAACTGATGGTGGTCTTAAAATGGAAGCTAATATTTCTGATCTGTCTGGACCTACTTCTCCATTGTCTTTGATTCTTGTCTTGAGGTCTTTGGCCGTCCACAAAAACTGCTTGATGTCTTCACTCTTGAAGTGATTCAAACTGAGAAAGTCTCGTCCAACAAGGCTGTGTGCATGCCTGTATTGTGAGAAATTATAATTCAATTAATGTCTTCCTTCATAGGTAAACTTTACAGTCTTGTTTAGTCTTTCCTCTTATACCATTGGATGTAAAGGTGTTTTAGTCTTTTCTTTTCTACCCTGGAATGTAGAGGTATTGTTGCCTTGTTCAGTTTCCCTCTTCTGCTCTGGGATGTAGAGGTATCTTTTTGTTTAGTCTCTCCTTCTCTACACTGGGATGTAGAGGTTTTTGAATCTTGTTTGGTTTTCCCTCTTCTACTGTGGGATGTATAGGTATCTTACAGTCTTGCGTCTTCTACCCTGGAATGTAGAGGTATCTCATAGCTTTCTGTCTTTTCTCCTCTACCCTAAGGTGAAGAGGAATCTAATAATCTTGTTTAATCTGTCCTCTGCTATGCTAAAGTACCTTACAGCAATGTTAATCTTGTCTTTTCTCCCCTGGGATGTAGAGGTACTTTACAGTCTAGTCACAATGAAAACAAACATTGGGGGGTGGGGGGGGGGAGTGTCATTCAACACCCTTAGACAATGTTTCGGAAGGAAGACCTCAATAGGGCAAAGATTTAAGTGCAAGAGCAATTTATATATATATATATATATACACACACAGGGCCAAATTTAGGCATGCACAGCGTTAGCAAAATTCTGAGGATGGCATCCCTTCGCCCACAGCCGTTAATGGATTGGGGGGGGGGGGGGGGAAACTCCACAGGTTCTGGCGCCCAGGCGTCTCATCTGTGTAGTATGCCAACGTTATCAATCGTCATAACCAAATCAGAGGTGTATCTAGCCCTTCACTAAAAACCTTACCCTTTGTCCGGTTCCACTGTCTCCATCAGGTCAGACTTGGTGGCCGTGTTCGTGGACGCAGAGAAGACCCCAAACCTGGCGACACCAGAATCTTTCATAACCACCCTCGTTGTTGAATTTGGCAGACTTTCCGACAGCCGCTTCAGCATGCAGAGGGTCACAACACTTCTCATGATTTGTGATATAGGATAACACAATTATGAATTTTTACAAAGTCTGCTGGCTTTACGGGTGCCGGGGAGGTGCGAATCAGATTAAAGCCAATTGCTGGGCAACTGACAGACGGTGCCTTCAAACTTCAACAATTCTTAAGTGTGGCCTTGAACCTTCACCTTGACCTAAACGGTGTTTCCCAAAGAAATTGATAAATAAAAAATGCATTGCCGACTTCGGAGTTGAGTAGAGTCAAGAATTGACATCACAGCAATCGGGGCATTCCCATGAGCAATCCGTCCTCATCTTCAGCAGCCAGTGCAGAGTTCCAATACACTAAGCACTTTGCGAATGGCTGCCAGGATATGCAGGTTTATGGGTTTAAACAACGGATCAACATAATGGCACAAGGGTAACCCATAAGTGCTCCGATCTACTTCTAACTCGAGCCTGATTCCGAAATTTTAAGCGCAGTGCACGAACTCCGTAGCACCGGCGAGGATCCTGAAATACTTTGGGTAAATTTTGCCCTTGCAGCGCTGTTAGGCTACTCCACGGCCAGCTCCAGATTTATACTGGAGCTGGCCGTGGGCTACTCTTTTCGATTTACAACATAATAGGTATCGTCAGTCGTTTTACGCTTGTGGATCTTTTGAAGAGGAGATAGGAGCACCAGTGGACCTGTCCGGCTGGAGTGCTGTAAAGATAATCCTCACTAATCAGCTGTATCCTACTCAGATCTGTGCGCTGTGAACTTTGTTTGTCGATGTTGTTCTTGATACATTTTTCTTTCATTAGGTTAATTAGCCCTCGTTATGGCTCCCAAGAAAGTGAAAAGTGTTAGTGACAGTGGTGTAAAGAAACATAAGTGTGTTTCAGTAGAAACGATGAAGAAAATAATCCCTGGACATGAGAATGTTGTCCGTGTCTCTGATCTCGTCAAGCAGTCTGACATGGCTAAGTAAATCATAAGAGACGGATATGGCTAAATCTACCATCTTCAGTCTCAAGCTTGAGTTAGAAGTAGAACGGAGAACTTATGGGTTACATCCGTGTGCCATGATGTTTATCTGTTGAATAAACATAAACGGAAATCTACCATCTGCACTAAAATACTATCTTGAACAAAGTTGCGCTAAAGACGACTGATGTAGATTAAGTAAAGGAGTAAATATATTGCCTTCCTTTTCTCTTGGCTCCTGGCACGTTCGTTTACCGTTTGAAACAAAAGTTGGCTGTCTGATTCAACGATAATTAAAAAAATCATATTGAGATAATTATCTATCAAGGATCAATCATATAGACAATCTCATTTTAAAAAAAAACACCTCCACTAAATTAAAGATTGTCATTTCTGTTTTGAGCACAATAACAAAATAGACAGAACTTATCTCGGCGGCCGAAATAGCTCAGTTGGGAGAGCGTTAGACTGAAGATCTAAAGGTCCCTGGTTCAATCCCGGGTTTCGGCAATATCCGGCGGCTACCAAATTTTTTATTTCTTTCGTATTTGTTTTTACTATTTATAAATGTTAGGTCTACATTTCTCGGTAAAACAAAACATAGGTATGTAACTAGTAGTAAACGGAAGAGAAAAGATGGCAAGCGATTAAAAAAAAATATAAACTATCAATGAATAAAGAATTAACATCACCGCACTCGGAACAATCCCACATATGATCCCTTCCTTTCTTGAGTTGCCAACGAAAAATAAATACATATATAAAACACAAACTATATGGCAGCTTTACAATTACAATAAATAGAGGACGCTGCACCGATTAGCCTTCATCAGCAGAACGACGACAAGAAACAAAACACAACACACACAAACGGACTGACTGAAATGTCTACATTATGGGATTCAATACTCTGAATTTTGTTTTTAAAAAGGACAGAGATTTAAGCAGGTATCAGTTACAGAGGAAGTAGGAAGTGAAAGCATTAAATCGGGGGGAGGGGGGAGAAGACGTGGTGGGTTTAGTGGTTAGACACTCTCACGTGGATCGGAAGGTAGTGGGTTCGGGTCCCGACCGAGCCGGACTTTAGAAAAATGACCTAGGCTCCCAGGTCGACCCAAACTTAAATGGGTAACGGTAACAGGTAAAGCCCTGGAGAGTAAATGCGGACGACGTGATACTGACAACATCACCTACCAAGTGTCGATTGGTCAATAAAATGTAGGTCTAGCCCTATATACCCATTACGTCTGAGAGCGTGGAAAAGGGCCCTTTTTACAGTTGGATTTGTTGGCCCGTAGAGAAAAGATATTACAGCCTAGCTCCAACACATAACACAACGCGGCAACCATCTTTTCGAGGGCGAACGCAGAAGAAAATAAAATGGGCTTTTAAAATTAGAATAAAAGGGGATGGGATGGTGTCACTTTGCAGCAAAACATCATTTGTTTTTTCTGTGAATACTCAAAGACCAGCCCCAAAATGACTTTTCAAACACCACAACACTTTAAATAAAGACACATTTTTGAAAGTACTGGATACACTTCGGGCACAAGAAGTTCCAACAGGGGCATATCGTAAACACCGATGCATTCATCTATATATCCATGAAAAGGCAGACATAGCTGCGTCCCATCTTGGTGCCCATGATACGTAAGGTAAACATCACACCAGCTGCTTTTACTTTCCAAGACATTACCTGGATAAGAGATATAGTCATGCCTTTAGCCCCATTTATTTTCGCAAAAAGCGTCACGGATGGCAGTGATGGCATCGCTTTTGTGCAGTACGAGACCAGTCATTGCAACCGCACTGTCTGTCAGATCAGGCTCGCTGTTTCAAACATCGTCATTCCCCCGACATATGTTCAAAGCTTAGACCAGACAGCCATGCGAGATGTGCTTGATCGTCTTCTTCTTCGCGTTCACCAGTTACAAATCTATCTATCTATTGTCTTCTTCACTTTTACCGGGTTGTAGCCCAGTGTCGTGGTTTAAAATATTTGTTTTGAGCCTTTCGCGTGATTTGAGTGACAGTTTTCTGGATCTTATGGCCGTATTCAGCTACTCCATCTATCCATTTTTTCCTGGGTCTTCCTCTGGCCTTTCTTCCCGATGTTCTACTGTAAAAGGCCTTATAGGCAATCTGATCCGGTTGCATTCTTACTAAATGGCCAAACCACTTCCTTCTCTGTCTTTCAATATGTTTCATGCATGCTCTTGTTCCAACTTTGTCTCTAATCCTGTCGTTTGTGACACTGTCTTTTCGTGTATTGTTGGTGACTCTTCGGAGACATCGCATTTCACACGTAGTTATTTTTTGCATATGTGATTTGTTCATTGTCCACGTTTGGCACTGATAACATAACGTAGGGATGAAAATGCTGTTAATCATCTGTTGTTTGGCTGGTAACGAGATCTTTGGATGACGAAGAAGTGGGGCCAGTTGGTAGTTGACTGCATTGGCTTTTTGAACTCTAGCTTGTATCTCTTTATCGAGTCTTCCATCTTCTGTAAATAGGCATCCTAAGTACTTGAATTCTTGAACTTGTTCTAATTGTATGTCATTGATCTTTTTACATTACTGCGTTTCTTTCCTTTGGTCATTACTTCAGTTTTTGAGGTGTTTATTTTCATGTCAAATTTTGTACAGTTAGTGAGCAATGAATCAACATGTTGTTGTAGTTTTTGTTCTTCTTCTTGTAACAAACATTGGTCATCTGCAAAAAGTAGTTCATTTATAATATCTGTATTTTGGTTTGACTCCTGTGCAATTTTATCCATATATGTGATAAAGAGTAAGGGTGATAGGACACATCCTTGTCGTACTCCTGATGTAATGGGGAACCAGTCTGTCATACCTTCCGTTGTTCTTACAGCGCTCTGGCTATTTTGATAGAGAGCCATTATGTTTCCCAATAATTGACCCGGTACACCATATTCTTCAAGAATGTTCCATAGTTTATTTCTGTTAACCCTGTCAAAAGCCTTCTCTTGATCAATGAATATAAGATTCTGGTGTTTATTATATTCGATTGTCTGTTCACAAAATTGCCGAAGAGTATATATTGCATCAGTGCAGTTCTTTCTTTTTCTAAATCCAAACTGATTGTTACTTAATTAAGGTTCTAATATCACCCTCACTCTTCGTTCTAATATTTTTGCAAACATCTTTCCTACATGGCTTTGTAAAGAGATACCTCTGTATGTTTTACAATCTCGTTTATCACCTTTCTTCTTCCATATGGGAACTATAATTGCTCTCTGCCAATCAACAGGAACTTTCATTTCCTCCCAGGCCATATTGAAGATTCTTGTCAGCCATTTTAGTGCTGTTGCCTTACATGCAAGTATTATGTCTGTTGTAATACCATCTGTTCCGGCCGCTTTGTTTCTTTCGCTTTGCTCTAGGATCTTTTCAACTTCAGATTCTAATATATTAGGTTCTTGTTCTTGTCCAAATTTAATTTTATTAGACACTGGTTCTTGTGGTCCACTATTCAGTAATTCATAAAAATATTCTTGCCATCTTCTTTTAACATCTTGGGTTTTGGTGAGTGGTTTTTTAGCCTTGCTGTTTAAGATCTTTGATGGGTTAAATTTCTCTTCTCTCAGTCTCATAGCCTTGATGCTTTGGTAGAACTGACCTAGTGAATCAGTGCATAGCCTTGCTAATTGTTCACCGTAGTTTGCCCATGATTCTGATTTAACCGAATTTACTTTCCTCTTGCTCTTGCTTTTCTATATTTGATGTAGTCCTCATCTAATTTGGACTTTTGCCACTGATGAAAATATTTCTTCTTTTCTTTGATAGAAATTTTAACTTCTTCATTCCACCATGCTGTTTGTTTCATGTGTCTTCTTGGCTTTCGGAGTCCGCACTTTTCTGTCATTACATTCAGGATGCAGGTTTTAAAAATGTGCCACTCTTCTTCTATGTCATTTCCTCTCTCTAGAGTACTGAAGGTGTTTTTAACTGTTTCCTCAACTTGAATTGCCACATCTTTGTCTTTTAGTTTCTCTATGGCTATCTGATCCATTAGCTGTGGTGTTTTATCAATGC